TATCGTTACACAAGTATTTTCCCCCCAAAAACTGCAAAATCCGCTTATAATTGCCGTATGCAAATGTTTACGACGACTCGTATAGTTGTACAAGTATTTTCCTGCCAAAAATTACAAAATCCCCGTATAATTGCCGTATGCAAATGTTTACGACGACATAACTTTTTTATATGATATGAACAAAACTTCATGACCATATAGAATGTATAGGAAATTTTCCGCGCTATACAGTAGTATATAAATTATGTAGATCGCATGGTTGCAGAAGAATTTTTCCTTCAAAAACTGCAAAATCCGCCTATAATTGCCATATGTAAATGTTTACGACGGCATAACTTTTTTATATGATATGGGCAAAACTTCATTACCATATAGAATGTATAGAAAATTTTCCGCTCTATACAGTGGCATATAACTTTAGTAGATCGTATCGTTACACAAGTATTTTCCCTCCAAAAACTGCAAAATCCGCTTATAATTGCCGTATGCAAATGTTTACGACGACATAACTTTTTTATATGATATGAACAAAACTTCATGACCATATAGAATGTATAGGAAATTTTCCGCTCTATACAGTGGTAGATAACTTTAGCAGATTACATGGTTGCACAAGCATTTTTCTCTCAAAAACTGAAAATTCCGCATATAATTGCCGTATGTAAATGTTTACGACGGCATAACTTTTTATATGATATGAACAAAACTTCATGACTATATAGAGTTGATAGTAAATTTTCGGCTTTATGCAGTGGTATATAACTTTAGTAGATCGTATAGTTGTACAAGTATTTTCCTGCCAAAAATTACAAAATCCCCGTATAATTACCGTATGCAAATGTTTACGACGGCATAACTTTTTATATGATATGAACAAAACTTCATTACCATATAGAATGTATAGGAAATTTTCCGCGCTATACAGTAGTATATAAATTTTGTAGATCGCATGGCTGCAGAAGCATTTTTCCTTCAAAAACTGCAAAATTCGCCTATAACTGCCGTATGTAAATGTTTACGATGCCATAACTTTTTTATATGATATGGACAAAACTTCATTACCATATAGAACGTATAGAAAATTTTCCGCTCTATACAGTGGAATATAACTTTAGTAGATCGTATCATTACAGAAGTATTTTCCCACCAAAAACTGCAAAATCCGCTTATAATTGCCGTATGCAAATAATGTTTACGACGACATAACTTTTTTATATGATATGGACAAAACTTCATGACCATATAGAATGTATAGGAAATTTACCGCTCTATACAGTGGTAAATAACTTTAGCACATTACATGGTTGCACAAGCATTTTTCTCACAAAAACTGAAAATTCCACATATAATTACCGTATATAAATGTTTATGGCCTCATAACTTTCTTATGTGGTTCGGACAAAACTCCGTGAACATATAGAATTGATAGTAAATTTTCCGCTCTATGCAGTGGTATATAGCTTTAGTAGATCGCATAGCTGCACAAGCATTTTCTTCCCAAAAACTACAAAATCCGCGTATAATTGCCGTATGCAAATGTTTACGACGGCATAACTGTCTTATATGATATGGACAAAACTTCATGACCATATAAAATGTATAGGAAATTTTCCGCGCTATACAGTGGTATATAAATTTTGTAGATCGCATGGTTCCAGAAGAATTTTTCCTTCAAAAACTGCAAAATCCGCCTATAATTGCCGTCTGTAAATGTTTCCGAAGGCATAACTTTTTTATATGATACGTACAAAACTTTGTGACCATATAGAATCTATAATCAATTTTCCACTTTATGCAGTGGCATATAAATTTTTTAGATCACATGGTTGCAGAACCATTTTCCTTCAAAAACTGCAAAATTCGCCTATAATTACATGTACATGTTTACGGCGTCATAACTTTCTTATATGATACGGACAAAGCTCCGTTACTAAATTTGACTGATAGTCGCCACAAAGACGCCACTCTTCATAATCTTTTTTAGGTACCATATGTAAAGGTGAAGCAACAGAAGAAGAAGATCGTCTACAAAACCGCTATCACTATCCCTTTCGGTCTCTATGAATTCACATTCATTTGGGTTAAAAAATGCTGCTCAAACATTTCAACGGTTCATTAGCGAAATAACTTGCGGTTTAAGTTTCATTTTTGTCTACTTGGATGATATTTTTATTGCCAGTAAAGACAAAAATGCACACTTATTCACCTTCGACAATTTTTTGAAAGATTAGATAGTTTTGGAATAAACATTAAACCGTCTAAATGTGTTTTTGGAGTAAGTTCAATAGATCTTTTAAGCCATCATTTCAAGCCACATATTTTCCAAGGGTCTCGTTCAACGTCCAAGCAATAAATAATTTTCCTCAACCTCAAAATCTGAAAGAACTAAACAGATTTCTTGGAATGATCAATTTATATCACGGATTTTTTTCTCAATTTTTCTGAAATTCTTGGACCCTTACATTGTCTTTCACAGTCCCTCACATTGACTCTTTTTCACGTGCTAAAGATCTGTTATCTCAGTCCGTATACCAGGTCCCGTATCTTCCGCATCAGAGCACTATACGGTTGTAGGATACATTATTAAAAGAAGATCGCAAGATCATTAAAGATCGTTTCAGAATAATGTATCCTGCAACCGTATAATCTCTGATGCGGAAGATATGGGACACCTGTATATCGCGCATACGAATCCTTCAGCCAACTTGATATTAACAACAGAAGCCTCTAATACTGGTGCTACACAAATTAGCACTTCTGTTAACCATCCGTAAAGCAATGGATTGGTTTCATGATCTTCCAATAATTTTATTAGGACTCAGTTCGTCTTTAAAAGAAGATCTGGGACGTTCTACTGTTGAGCTTGTATTTGGACAACCTCTTCGTCTTCCAGGCGAATTCTTTCTTAAATCAAACTCTTCGATAGACACAGATCGACTTCTTATTAGGCTACGTGAATCTTTTGCAAACTTGAGACCAACTCAGACTAACTTTCATCCAAAATTTTAGTCTATCAAATACTCCAATACAAATTTTAAGATTTTATTTATACAATTAATATGGTGGTACTAATAAATAAACTATAGTGACCATATAGAATTGATAGTAAATTTTTGGCTCTATACAGTGGTATATAACTTTAATAGATTGCATGGTTTCATAAGATTTTTTAACCCGAAAAAATGCAAAATCCGCGTATAATTGCCGTATGAAAATATTTACAACACCATAATTGTCATTAAAATTATTTTTCTACTAAATTATTTACTTTAAAACTTAGTGATACGAATTCTAAACATACAATAACAAAAACCAATAAGACCTTTCAACATATTTTTATTTAAACAGAGCCATTTTCCTACATTTTATCAGCCACACCATCTGTTTTCTTATATTATTTCACATATTACATACAAAAAAATACATGTAGCCATTTAATAGATATACATCAGTTCACATATTTGAATTATTTAAAAAGACAGAAAAATAAATGTATAAATGAAATTAGCGANTATCTGATGTGTATTGTGTTATGTAATTAAGATATCGTGTTTGACGTGGAGTTTTTTCTATGGTAGAAAAATTGTGTTGATTAGTGGTTTGTGGTCAGTGTAACTAAACCACAAATTGATGTCCATGCAAAAAATGTTTAAAGAATTTGATAGTGTAAATAGCTAAGAATTCTCTATTAAAAATTGAATAATTTGTTTGATTTGAAGATAATTTTTGAGAAAAAAATGCTAAAAGTTGTGTTTTATTGTCTACAGTCTGTGATAAAACTGCTCCCATGCTTTTACTTAAGGTGTCTGTCGTTAGTGAAAGAGTAGCTAAACTGAGTAGTAAAGAGTAGTAAACCGTAGCGAAAGAAATGTGATGATGTGTCCAGGAAGTTTTTGTGAATAAAGTGTTTTTAATGTAAAGAAGCTAAAATGTTCGAGATGGTTGGAAAAATCTGTGATAAAAATTTATCATTCCTAAGAATCGCTGTAATTATTTAGGTGTGGTTGGTTTTGGAAATCCAGTTATGGCATTAATCTTAGATTGCGAATGCCTTCTGTAGAAATATGATGTCTTAGCAAATTTAAAGTTCTAACTCTAAAAACACATTTTTTTGGTTGAATATTGATATTGCAAGAGCTTAACCTCTCAAACAATTGTTGTAAATGAAGATAATGTTCTTCTTCATTGTGACTGGCTACTAAAATATCAACTAGATAAACAAAAAGGAAATCTAAGCCAGAAAGAACTTCGTTTATAAACCTTTAAAAGATTTGTGCACCATTAGGTAAACCGAAAGGCATTCGCATGAATTCGAACAGACCAAACGGTGTAGTGATAGCCATTTTAGGAATATCGTCTTCTTCTACAGGAATTTGGTCTAAATTAGATCTAATTTTGAAAAATTTTTGCAGTTATCTAAATGTAAATTAGCCGTCTTGAGAGACGGCCAATAAATTCCCGACAGCAATTAGTAGCCGCAGTTGTGAACGCTTTTGCAACACTTAGGCCCATTGAGCTTATCAACTCGGCAAAAAGGGCTAAAAAAAGATGTCGACTGTGTATAACACAAACCATTTTGGGGACATTTTGAACATTTTCTATAGAACAGGGGNAAAATTATTTACTTTAAAACTTAAGTGATATGACATCTAAACATACAATAAAAAAAACCAATAAGACCTTTCAACATATTTTTATTTAAACAGAGCCATTTTCCTACATTTTATCAGCCACACCATCTGTTTTCTTATATTATTTCACATATTATTACATACAAAAAATACATGTAGCCATTTAATAGATATACATCAGTTCACATATTTGAATTATTTAAAAAGACAGAAAAATAAATGTATAAATGAAATTAGCGAAATACAAAAGAAAATAAATTGAAAATATACAAATCCATCTAAAAAAAAGAACAAGCAACACTTTATCATGATTTGAAAACAAAATGTACATAAATACGATCGAAATATATAAATTATTATATTATTTTCGGGACGTAAAAAATATTTTACACCCCATTTAGCTATAATTATTTTTTTATTACATTGGTGACATAATTAGATAACTGATCGTTCAAAAACGATTTCTTCTTGATACACAAAATTACGTCTACAAGGAATCACAACCATAACGCTACAAGGTTACCCAAGCGATTTTTTTTTTAATATATTTTTTTTATATTAAGAGATACAAAAGTAAATTTGAGCAGAAATAAAAAGAATTAATTACAGATGGTACACCTGATGAAGCCACGTTGCAACCTGCTTAAAAACTATAAAAAATAAGTTTCCTTTCCTTGAAAGTCTTCATCGCATTTTCTGTTTATTCTAATTTTATTTATTTTTTTTTAATATACGGAGTAAATATAAACCTATCTTCATATTAATATATGTCTGAACACCTTATTTATTTATTTTTTAATAAAAAATATTTGAATGGAGAGTCTATGGATGATGATTACGAAAAAATAATCGGAAGTAAATCGATTATTAACTATCTTGGAATCCCCCTAAAATCTAGAACACTATTTTATGGAAAACTCAAGTTACATCATTTTTTTTATGATTTAATCAAATGTAGGCGATTTCGCTCTGTCTCAGTGTGCTTTTAAAATGGTCCCCCTTATTATTAAACTCCAAACTCTTTCGCATCATCTTCAGTTATATCCCCATACTGCCAAATATTTGCATGATTAGTTTTAGCCACTTCTTGGGCGGCCATATACTCCGATACCAATTTATGCAATCTCCTTTCCCGTCTTTTTTCAACCAACAACAAACCATCTGTAATCAAATTCTTTACGATATCTTCCTTATTTTCTTCGGTGAAAACGGTAGCAGCCGGTAATCCACCACTCGGGCGATATTCAACATTTAAAAATAATTTTCCCGCACTAAGATCTTCTTTTAAATATTTCAAAGCGATATCCGCAAATTCTGGATCTTTCGGTAACGCAACGCAAGCGAGACTGTACTCGTTTGCGAATGGTTTTTCATTCGCATAAGCGGCGGGTAAACTTGCCAAGCGGGTTGAATTCACAGTTTCTCGATTACCATAATCGATATAACGAATATGGACGGTTGTACCTTGAACTTTTTCCACTTTCGCTCGATACCATTCATCATCAACGGTGTATTTCGCAGCGCAAGTATCGCCGCGTTTTGGGTTATAAGCCCCAGGTAAAGGTGGATTCGCTTGGAATTCTTGACGCATCTTTGCGACTAAAAGCTCAGCTTTTGATCCATTTTGATAATGTTGGGCGAAGAATGTTCCTTCGGGTGTTACTTCCGTTACTACAACTTCTTCGTAGTTTACACTCCTTTCAGGATTCTAATTAATAAAGAAAAATCAATTAAAATGATTTTGAGGAAACATTATTCTTATGAAAAATGTGAATAACTCAGTTTGCATTATCATAAGTTGATATGTATTAAGGTCTATCAATGTCTGTTAAGGCTATTTTTACTGTCAAAGCTTTTCAAGTCCAAGTTTTTTAGATTTCTAATTATTGCTACTTTAGTTCATTATTATTAAAAGAGTTATATAGAGGTTATATTTAGTAGTTTGTGTATTTGAGTATTGTTTGTTTAGTAAATTTGTTAATTCCGTATCATTAAATTGTGCGTTTTTTAAAGTTTGTGTGTCAGGGTACTGTGAATTTAGAGAATTTGTCCGCTACAATGTTTGATTCTCCTTTAACCCTTTGTGTCCCAAGACGTCAAACATTTTGAAATTTTGTAGCAGAATCAGACAGAATTAAAACGCTATCAAAATACACTCAGTACAGGCCTTCGGAATCAACTTTTAGTAAAATATGCAATCCCCCTATTCTCTAATCTAAGTGTCAAAAAAGATGCTAATTCAAAAATTCCTGGAAACCGTATTTATTGAAATTAAGGAATGAAACTTATTTCAAATTAAAGCTCAAAGCTTTCTCTTTAAAATGGTGTATAATAATCGTTGGGTTGAATTAGAAAAATATTGAGAAAAAAAGCATTGAGTTAAAACTAACATTTTCGTATAACCTAAAAGTGTCAAAAAAGATGCTAATTTAAAAATTCCTAGAAGCCGTTTTTATTGAAATTAAGGAATGAACCTTATTTCAAATTAAAGCTCAAAGCTTTCTCTTTAAAATGATGTATAATAATTGATGGGTTGGATTGGGAAAATATTAAGAAAAAAAATGTTGAAATAAAGCTTACATTTTCGTATAACCTAAAAATGTCAAAAAAGATGCTAATTTAAAAATTCCTGGAAGCCGTATTTATTGANGCAAGTATCGCCGCGTTTTGGGTTATAAGCCCCAGGTAAAGGTGGATTCGCTTGGAATTCTTGACGCATCTTTGCGACTAAAAGTTCAGCTTTTGATCCATTTTGATAATGTTGGGCGAAGAATGTTCCTTCGGGTGTTACTTCCGTTACTACAACTTCTTCGTAATTTACACTCCTTTCAGGATTCTAATTAATAAAGAAAAATCAATTAAAATGATTTTGAGGAAACATTATTATTATGAAAAATGTGAATAACTCAGTTTCCATTATCATAAGTTGATGTGTATTAAGGTCTATCAATGTCTGTTAAGGCTATGTTTACTGTCAAAGCTTTTCAAGTCAAAGTATTTTTTAGATTTCTAATTATTGCTACTTTAGTTCATTATTATTAAAAAAGTTATAGAGAGGTTATATTTAGTAGTTTGTGTATTTGAGTATTGTTTGTTTAGTAAATTTGTTAATTCTGTATCATTAAATTGTGCGTTTTTTAAAGTTTGTGTGTCAGGGTACTGTGAATTTAGAAAATTTGTCCGCCACAATGTTTGATTCTCCTTTAACCCTTTGTGTCCCAAAAAGTCAAACATTTTGAAACTTTGTGACAGAATCAGACAGAATTAAAACGCTATCAAAATACACTCAGTAAAGGCGTTTGGAATCAATTTTAGCAAAATATGCAATCCCCCTATTTTCTAATCTACGTGTCAAAAAAGATGCTAATTAAAAAATTCCTGGAAGCCGTGTTTATTGAAATTAAGGAATGAGACTTATTTTAAATTAAAGCTCAAAGCTTTCTCTTTAAAATGATGTATAATAATTGATGGGTTGGATTGGAAAAATATTAAGAAAAAAAATGTTGAAATAAAACTTACATTGTCGTATAACAATTTTATTTATTTTTTTTAATATACGGAGTAAATATAAACCTATCTTCATATTAATATATGTCTGAACACCTTATTTATTTATTTTTTAATAAAAAATATTTGAATGGAGAGTCTATGGATGATGATTACGAAAAAATAATCGGAAGTAAATCGANAGGCCCATTGAGCTTATCAACTCGGCAAAAAGGGCTAAAAAAAGATGTCGACTGTGTATAACACAAACCATTTTGGGGACATTTTGAACATTTTCTATACAACAGGGGTTTACTTTTGTTGTTATTTGTTGACATATATTTATTCTTGTTTTATAATAAGATAAGTTTTATTAATTTAATCGGCTTTTTGTTTATGGGTTGTATCTCTGAAACCGTAAGAGATGATATCGATATGCGGTTTTCGCCATTAAGTTTCTTATAAAAATCGAGCCTCAGACACTGATGTCATTTTTCCTGTATCTCTTATAGAAATAGGAGTTTTCCTTTAAAAGTGTCCCATTTGACCCACCTGTACAGCGATTTGCGTATTGCAATATCAATACTGCCATATTGGTTGCATACTTGCAATGACGACGTTAGCTACGATAATTAATTAACACACTGTACTAATTGTAGTACCATTAGTGGTGGAAAGGTTTGGGTTGGATCTTGGTTCCGTTTCGGATATAATTAGTGAGGTAGAACCGAAATATCAGCTCCAGTCTCAATTAAAAAATTTAGGTTATTTAGATTGTCAAAAATGAAAAGTCGCGAACTGACAGAATGTATCGTAAATTGAGGTTGCCGCCTTTTAGGGCCGGTTTATCAATATCTATAGTTGATTTTTTTTCTATAATACCTGTCAAATTTTTGTAAAGTTAGCAAAATTAACAGGGAGTTTTGTTATATGATGTTTTGAAATAAATATGTCACACTGACGTTTGAGCTTTCGTTATTCAAAAAGGTGCATAAAAAATGTTGTGGGGTGTTTGCCATTTATTTACCTACAAAAGGTGTTTTGTTCTATTTAATTATTATGTAGCACGTTTTTACAATAAATGTATACTAGGTTAAAATCGTATTTATCTACATAACATTTATTAGTATTTTAACCTCAACTATTTAGTTACTGAAAATGTTACTAAAAATCAGGAAAATAACATAAATTTTATAGGGTCCTAGATAATACCAACAGAAACCCTAAAAAATTTACATTGACAAGTATTATAGAAAAAAAACGAACTATAGTTAAGACGATTTATCTGTCAATTAAAATTGTAGCTGATAGATAACGTCGACGAATCGTTTATCCACCCGTAGTTTAGGGTAATCTTATAGATAAATATGACATTTGGATACCCACCAGACTGAAGTACTGGTTAAGGGTTTACCTATTAGAAATTGTCAAAAAAATGTGAGCACAGGTTTGGTTGCTTGGTGAAAGGAAATGACAATAAAGTCAAAATATAACGTCAAAAATAAATTAAGCTTATAATTGTGGTGATGGATAAGCAAGAGAAAGAAAAGATCATCAAATTTTAGTACAGCAGAAAAGAACTTGCTGATGGATTTGGCAAACGAATCCAAAAATGTTATAGAAAAATAATAATCTAGTAATTAAAAAAAAAATAATAATATAATCTATAATCTCGTCTCAATTTTAACCAAGAATGACAAAACTGTGTCCTTTTTTAACCGAAATCTAACAAAAAAACGTGGTCGTCCAACTCCTCAAACTGGTTTTGACTTTTGTCTTTCTTTTATAATATATGGTCGTCGTTTATAATTTAAGAGTAGGACAATATCCTCATCTTTATCGCTGTCTAATAAATATTCATGTACGAATTCCATTATAAAAGAGGTTTTCGAAAACAAAGCACAATACCGAAAGCACACGGGAATGATAACCCGCAATATTAACTTCACAAATTAAAATCAATTATTCAAATTTCACCAAGTCCGTTTCATTTCAGTTTCTAATGTTAACAGTCAGGGGTACCATTTATGTTGTATCTTGTAGGTTGCTGCCTGTCGGGTAGAAAGTTGCTGGATAAACGGTTCATTGAGGTTAGTTATCTGTTAGGCAAGTTTATCCATGAGTTGCGTATCTAACAGATTCGACATTGATAAAACGGCCCTTAATCAAAATTTTGAATTTGGAAAAGTTTTGTTTTTCTTTTGAAACCTTTATTAGTTTTTTTGATGATGAAGTAAAATTTTTGTTTTTGTTGGTGAAGGATTTATAAAATTTGAGTAGTTAAATTATTTATAATTTATTAGGTTTTCTAAATTATTTGTCAGTCAAAAGTGTTTGACACGTTAACGTCAGATTTTAAATTGTGGTTAGTTGGTCATGTTGTGTAGTTTCTGTGGCACTCCTCGAAATCTTATTTTGTACAGTTTGAAACGATGAGCCATTCATATTTCTCATATTAAAAACTATATAAAAATAATAAAATTAAATTTAATTTAACTCACCGCATTATCTTCTTCAATTTTTTGTTGTTCGTCCTCTTTTTCCTCAACATAATCCTTCCATCTCTTCAATTTCCTTTGTTTAGCACTATCCTCGGCTCGTTTTAATTGTTTAAAATACTCCGACCTATCGGCTGTTGGGTGAACCGTTGCGAAACCTTCTTCGACCAAAGCGACCGATAAATTATTATTATCAACCCATAACCAACCGATAAAGTTCCCAGCTTTATCGGTGGATTCGATTTGGATTTGCACCTCACGTTGCATACAACGATCTTTTGTAAAAGCCAAAGCTTCATCACCGAACGGTTCGGAAGCGCTTGCGGGGATTCCCCCAACGGCGGGGCGAGCACCACGCGGACAACTAATCCCACCCAAAAGGAACGTACAAAGACAAGTTTCTTTCGGGATGTAAAGTCTCAAACGTGAGCCGCTTGCGACAAATTCAACGATGGCGTCAATACGATTTTGGCGTTTAAACGAGGAAAGGTATTGTTTTGATTTTGCGGCGTCGATTTCGATAACTCGGTGAACGGGGACGTTCTTTTTGTCATGAATCCCTTTTTGGGATTTGTTCGCTTTAGTTTCGGCGGCCATCAAATCGTCGTAATGGGAACTACGTTGATCATCATCTTGTCGATATTTAACCACGGTTGCCAATCCTTTAGAAACTAACGCTTCGGCTACGTTAGATCCACCAATCGTGACGGTAGCACACACTTTTTCGGGGAAATTATCTTTAGCTTCTTGAATGTAATCAACGACTACTTGAACTTTTTTGTCAACCAATTTTTTTCGGAGGAATTCCCTTGCTTCAAACATCCACGGGATATCATATAACGGACGGAAACCTTTTGGTCTAGCTACAGGTTTTCCATCTTCATCGTTAGCACGCGCCGCTTCTTTCGGGGGTCTTATACTGGATAAGAAAATTTTTTTAACTTGTCCATTAGCTAATTTAACCAATAAAGCATCTCCGTTTATAACCTCAACTACGGTTCCAGAAAATTCTTTTTCTTTTCCGGTAACTTGGGGCGCATTCGGTTGCCAATCTTTCCATAATCTCAATCTTGATTCTTTAGCTCTACGTTCGGCTGAACGTAATTTATCAGCTCCAGATTTCATAAAAGCAATTGACCAATCAACGCAACGAGCGAGTCCCTCTTTTAATAAAGCCTCGGCGATATTTCCTTTTGGGTGTACAATCGTTCCAACAAAATTGTTATTGTTAACCGATTCTAGAATAATCTCGACATCGCGTTGTAAAAGACGAATTTCGACGAAGTATCGAGCTTCGTCGGCGAATGGGAGTTTTTCGTTTGGATCTGGTTTTCCGTTCGCGTCTAATTTGAAACCGTTGCAACGAATTCCCGATATCATCAGCGTAATGTGGTAGAAATCGGGTAAAAGGAAAGCTCGCACAGTTGAACCATCTCGGACGTGTTCGATAACTGCTTTTATTGGTTTCCCAGCTTGCTTATCGACGAAAGTTCTCATATTTTCAAGCGACCATTTTATATCTCTCACATGTTCCTTTAAAAATTATCGTTTAATATTAAAATTGTTTCGATAATAAAACAAGATAAATTTGTTGTAAATATAAACGATAAATAAGTATTAGTAGCTTAATAAAAAAACACATAATTAAAAATTATATCTTACCCTCAAGACTTATGTATGTATTAAAAATTGTTGTAGTTCAAATTAAAATAAAATAGAAGCATTACTTCTAACTACAAGCCTATCTTAAATTAAATTACAACAGGTTATGGGGACAAAATCGTCGTCAAAATCAAAATTTAAATAAAGTAGAAGAAAAAACAGCATAAAATTTTAAAATAAAATCATGAAAATAAAACTAATAGTCTTCAACATTTAAGAAAAAAGAAAGTGTTTGCTTTGAATAAAAAATGATTTGATAATCGAGACATCAAAAGGAGCTGAAAATTTTGATGTATGGTATTTTCTAATAAAAATTTTCTTGAAGGCAAAAAACCGTTATAAAATAATAGACGGCACATAGCCATGCCCAAATGAAGATAAAAAGAGATCAGAATGGGAACAAAAGGGTGCACAATTGCGCAAAAAACTTAATAAATTCCGAAAACGCAAAAAAAATGTTTGAAAATCTAGCGATAAGAAACAGATGAACTGAAATATAAGTTACTACAAGAATTTGAACAAATTGAAAAAATTAAAACAGAACATCAGTTTTAACATAATCTTTAACGTAATTTTGTTTTGATTAACAATTTCCTTAATGTAATGGTATCTCACATCAATGTATTTACTACACTAGTTATTATTATACCACTTTTTATTAGATTCATTGCGCTTGTATTGCCCGTAAATAATGTGGCTTCTACTTCCGTTCCGATAATTTCTTTTTTGTAATTTGCTACGGTAATGGAAGCTATAACAGTACTCAAACGGGTGCTGTAATGAGACTCCTTACAGCATCCGATGCTGTAATGAGATTTTAGTAACATTTTATGGAAGCAGTTCAAGTTGGTGACATTGGGTCATTAATTTTTCTAGTTGTCAATGTGACAATTTTTGTCTATGGATGTTTAAACACGTTCTTAGCATCGAATACAAGGTCCACAATGATGAGGACATTGAACACTGAGCAATTTCTCTTATTTTGGGAGGTGTACATGAAACATTTTTTTCAGGTGAATACATTTTGTGTTTTGACAGTTTCTAATTGTCAATTCAAATTTCTATTTTCAAGTGTTACGGTGTTACCAACTGCTGCATACCTATTTCCCTACATTGTCAAAATTTATTTTATTTTTGTTAAAAAAAAAGGATAAAAACGCGAATTACAAAAAATAGCATAAAAAACACGTTTCATAAGACTTAAAGCACTCATTCATTAAAAAACTCGTGGCTTCGCCACTCGTTTTTCAACTTGGATTCGTGCATTTCAAGCGTGTCTTACGAAACTTGTTTTTTAATATACTATTATTAATTCTTTTAAGTACATGGTTTCTTTACAGCATTCAGCCGCTGCGATGTACTCTGCGTCAGATTTAGATAGCGCAACGATCGACTGCTTCCAAGAACTCTAACTTATAGGTTCATCATTATCTTTAAACATATTGTAAATCTAGTGACTGTCGTGTTCTATTTTAGTGGTGCTTTTCTTAAATTTTTTTAATTTACATACTTTTTCTTCTTTATTGTCGCCATATCCTTGTGGTATTTGCATATACAGGGGAAGAAGAGAAGAACATTTTTTCAAATAAAAAATGTTTTATTAATTGTGGGGCATTTTTTGGCGATATTTGTTTGTTTACGTTTTTTGTTTCGTTGCTATGGGAACCAACATTATTATTACAAATGGGATGCATGTCTTTTTTTATACAGGTGATTCACATAAGAACCGACACAGAGCAGGGACATGTAGAGGACAATAAATTAAGATGATTTAACGCAACTTATCTCTATACTAAGTTGTACCCCTGAGGAGTTATAGGCCTTCAAAGTTGGGTCTTAAATTTTTAAAACATTNTGATTACACTAAAAAAAAAGTTTATTTTTAGCTTTATTCTAAAACAATAAGAAATAGACCTATATAACCCCATATTTTTGTAATCAGAAATAAATAACGAATTTAATAAGCGAATATTCAGTGGTTGTTTCCATTTAAAAAAACGAAAATTGACATATCTCAAAATCTAAAACCGAAAATTTTTTTTTGACTACGTCATCAAATTCTCTGTAAAAAAATGTCCATATAATGTCTTAATTATAATACTCCACCTATAATAATAACCAAGATAATTGCACTTGTTTGTTTTACGATATTTTCAATTTTGGCCTCTAGGGGAAAAACAAAAGACGATAACGCTTTGAGGTTTTCGGCATTAGCAGTTTCTCGAAAAACAAGATCATGACAAGTAAGCTACTTTTTTTTCTAACTCTTATAGTTTCCAAGATAGCCTATTTGGACATCGAATTTGAACCATAATTACACACATAATTAAAAAATATCAAATCTTACCATCAATTAAAATAAAACAGAAGCATTATTTCTAATTACAACCCTATCCACTTAAATTAAATTACAACAGGTTATGGGGCCAGGTATAAGTTAGAAATTTAAAAACAAGACTTGCGTCAAAGTCAAAATTTAAATAAAGTGAAGAAAAAAACAGCATAAAACTTTAAAATAAAATAAATAGTCTTCACATCAAAATGGTAAGATTATATGGTATATATTATAGGGTTTCAAATGACTGAAACAATTAAGAAAAAAGAAAGTGTTTTAGTTGAATAAAAAAGGATTTGATAATCGAGACGGTAAAAGGAGCTGAAAATTTTGATTTATGGAATTTTCAAATAAAAATTTTCTTGAATTCAAAAAAACTTTTATAAAATAGTAGATGGCACATATCCATGCCCAAATGAAGAAAAAAAGAGATCAGAATGGGAACAAAAGGATGCAATTGCGCAAAAAACTTAATAAATTGCGAAAAAGCAAAAGAAATGTTTAAAAAATTAGCGATAAGAAACAGATGAACTGAAATATAAGTTAGTACAAGAATTTTATCAATATACATATCGAAAAGAAGCGAACATGACAACTAACATTGCGGAATTGAAACTTTAACGTAACTTTGTTTTGATTAACAATTTTCTTAATGTAATGGTATCTCACATCAATGTGTTTACTACACTTAGTTATTATTATACAACATTTTTTGTTGTCCATAAATAATGTGGCTTCTACTTCCGTTCCGATAATTTCTTCTATTAATCCTTTTAATTACATGATTTCTTTACAACATTCAACTGCTGCGATGTACTCTGCTTCGGTTTTAGATAGCGCAACGATCGACTGCTTCTGAGCACTCCAACTTATAGGTTCATCATTATCTTTAAACATACATTGTTTAGATTTGAACTGTTGTAAACCTATTTCTAGTAAAGGCTTTTTAAACCTTAATTTATAAGGTTTTTTTTAATTTACATACTTTTTCTTCTTTATTGTCGCCATATCCTTGTGGTATTTGCATATACAAGGTGTGTCAAATATAGCAAATAACTTCGCCATTTGTGTTTTAAAGAAAAATTTTTCAAATAAATTCTTTATTAGTTATGGCGCACTTTTTTGTGGCGCGATATTTGCTTGTTTACATTGTTTTTTGTTTCGTTGCTATGGCAACCAACATTGTTATTTTAAATGGGATACATAATATATTTTTTTTGCATATTTTGATAGAGGATAAATCTCTTTACGCGATGAACATATCAAATCATATGGTTGTATAAGAAAATAGTAGATTATTATATGAGCATATATAGTGGCATAATTAACCTGAGTGAATAATAGCTCATTATATGTGAGTAGAATACTATGACTATTGAAATTGATTCCATTTTTTAAATAAATTTTGGAATAAAGTTTAAACGTCAAATGTGACAAATTCAATGTTACTAACTGTAACCAACTTCACAACTATTTGTCAAATTAAATGTCAATTTTATAAAACGTCGTTTTTTTTACGAAAATTAATTAATTTATGCTTAAATCATACGAAAAAAGGAATTTGTTTGGGTTTTTTTAATGTCAAACCTTTAGAAACCCATAAAAAATAAAAATTTCAAATTTTTATTGTCAAGTGTTACGGTGTTACCAACTGTTGCATACCGATTTCCCTACATTGTCACAATTTATTTTATTTTTGTTAAAAAAAAAGGATAAAAATGCGAATTACAAAAAAAAGCATAAAAAACACGTTTCGTAAGACTTAAAGCACCGATTCATTAAAAATTCGTGGCTTCGCCATTCATTTTTCAACTTGAATATACTATTTTAATATACTTTATAATTAATATACTTTTAATATACTATTTTTTAACACCGAAAATGTTAAAAACCTACCAAAAAGCGGACGGCTGAAGACAGCTACCAATGACAAAACTAGATAAAATGTGCTTTTGGCGGTTTCAAGAACAATCTGGGGTTTATTCTTTAAAAAATATAAGCCGATCTACGAAAATTAGTCAAGTCTGTTGGTCGAATTTTAAAACTAGAAAAGTTTCACCCATATTTAAACATATTTTGACATTTAAAGCCGTCAATGACGTCATTTCAATACCTACTTTGATTATAATTTGTTGTCTTAATATTTTCAGAAAACGCATTTTTTATACAACCATATGATTTGATATGTTCATCGCGTAGAGGAATTTATCCTACATCAAAATATGCAAAAAAAAAAAGAACAGATGCATCCCATTTAAAATAACAATTTTGGTTGCCATAGCAACGAAACAAAAAACAATGAAAACAAGCAAATATCGCCAAACAACGCGCCACAATTAATAAAGCAACTTTTATTTGAAACATTTTTCTTTTAAACCACAAATGGCGGAGTTATTGGCTATATTCCAGACATTTGACACATCCTGTGTATCTTCATCAAGGGTTAAGGGCACCTCAGAGGTAAAGTGGGTTAAATCACATTTTTTGCGAAATGAATTATCTCCACCATATGTATTTGTTTAAACATTAAGTCCACTCTCAAATCTGTCTCCTTAACAATTTCGAGTTTGTGACTTAACATATCTTACCTCTGAGGAGCTGATATAAAAATGCTGTTTTATGTCGAATTTAACTATATAACTTATTACCAGATTAAAAGTTTCATCTGTTAGATTACTGAAGTCTTGTTCAAATCCTCTAACAACTAGTATTGCCTTAAATGTTCCATCTTCCTTTACTCTAAAAACCCATTTCATAGGTTTCATACCCAAACAAAATCTTTGAATTTTTCTGGTATTACTTTTTTTTTCTTCGCCTTTTTTCTGTTCATTCACTTCTTTTCCTTTTTCCTCTTTCTCTTCCTGTTTTTTCCTTCTTTCTCTTCAATTTTCTTACAGTTTCTTTCCTCTACCTCTTTGCTTATAAGTTCTTCATCCAATATTTCGTCTTTTATGTTCTTTTTCCATTTCTCTTTGTCTTTATCTGTTAGTTCTTTTTCCTAATTTAAATATAGGTAATATTTAAATCTTACAGGTGTCTTTTTTGTTCTGTGATTTTTCATCAATTTTGGTTGTCTTTCTTTTGCACTCTTTGCTAAGTTTTTTATTCTCTACTACTTCCTTGGGTTCTATCATCTTTTCATTGTCATCATTTTCCTCAGTTTTTTCTTTTGATGTTATCATTGCAAGTTTTATTTCACTTTTTTTTAAGATCTATTACATAGAGTCCATTTTTATTTTTGTTTCCACTCATTATTATTTCACCATTCTTGTAAATATTTACACCTTTATATTCAAATACAACTTTTCCACTATTTTTAGCAATTTTAGCTACAGACAATAGATCTTTTTCTAATTCTGGTACTTTCTATTTCTATTTCACCTATTGCTTCTGCTTTAAGAACTTGATCCTGTTTTGCCATTTGATTGTTTTCATTTATAATTACCTTTTTCTTTAACAATCTTTTAGTAATAATCTTGTAATAATCTTTTAGTGTTTGTCATATGTGCTAAAGCACCTGAATCTATGATCTATTCATTCCATCCAACTTTTCCATTTTTTTTCTCATTTTTGTATCTAAAGAAACATTGATTCTCCTGGTGGTTAATCTATTTACATATTCTACATTGAGTTTTATTTCTACAATACCTTGCAATGTGCCCTTCTTCTCCACATTTAAAACAAGTTTTCAAAACAATTTTTATTTGAAAATTCCATAAATCAAATTTTCATCTCCTTGTAATGTCTCAATTAACAAAACCTTTTTTTTTTAATTTTTTATTCGACACAAACACTTTCTTTTCTCTTAATTGTTTCAAATGACTTACAATATACCATAATATAGTCTTACCTTTTTGATGTAAAGACTATATAATTAAAAATTATTAGACCTTACCATCAATACATATGTATATATTAAAAGTGTTGTAATTCAAATTAAAATAAAACAAGCATTATTTCTAACAACAGCCTATCCATTTAAATTAAATTACAACAAAATTAAAAGATTAATACCTGCAAATTTCCTCCCCATTTTCCTTTCCCGGCTGATTTTGCAGCATTTTCCAATTCTGATAATTCCTCAATTTCCGGTGTTATCCTAACCCCTTCTCTTCTCACACTGACAAGGCCTTCANTCGATGATTTTAAGTAGCATTAACGAAATACGTGTCTTTAGTTATTTGAGTTTTTTATGAAAACGGCAATGTTTTTTAAAAAATAATAAGAGTAAAAAAAGTTTTAGAATTAAATTCCACATGAAATGAAGTAGTAAATTATTAAATCCGCCAAAAGGTTAAAAAAATCCTGTATAATATATGTTAATAGAGGATATATCTCTCAATGATGCCTCAAGTGTCATTTTACTATCTTTGAAGCTGACAGAAAATAAGATACACTACTCTTTCTATAATCAGCGAATTGTGTTCTAAAATACTCGACAGGTTGATCGTTGTCAGATGTTTGGTTTCAAGGTGTCGACGAAGAAGTGACGGTTTTAAGTTGCTGTTAGCAAGCACTTCATTGCAATTTACACAAAGCTTCTGAGGTTCTGATTCTTGCACAGTAAAGTAAAACCCCATTTGTAAATAGTGGCTGTCATATTTTCGCCTTTTTCTTTTTTTCTCCCCAGTTTCATCAATTTTTTCTTTGTATTTAGTCGGGTGAAATAGTAGCTCACTGCAGCTCTCAGTATCATCGCCCTTTGTTGTTCCGAAATCGAGTGCTGACAATTAAGCTACTAATTTTTTGCTTGTCCAGTATTTTGTTGACCTCAACTAAACTACCCGTTTTTGGCCACGGATCCATATTCAAATTATGGAATAATAATTATTAAAAACTGTTTACATGTTCTCGTTAACCTTCGCTAATCAATCTACCGGTATCAGAGTACTAACTGCGAACAAACAATAAATCACACAAGGTTTTAAAATGTCTGTACAAAGCGACATTTTAGTTTGCGAAAATAGTTATTAAAAATAGTAAACTTTATTCATGAATCTCTATCTATTATCATCTCTGGGAACTCCCTTCTGTAATACCTGGAGATATGGTTTAATAAATATTACAGACACAATACGAGAGATGGCTTTAGTTTGAAATTAAAGATATTACAGTTAATAATTTTTCTGGTAATAATAACTTTTTTAATTAAAGCAAAAGGTGATGGACACGATTTATATCTGTGCAACTTTATGATATATGTCTTATAAGTTTTTTTCAAACTTTTAGTTCTATTATTTTGTCAATTTTTACTTTACCACTTTTATAAAATTTCGCCATTATAATATTATTGCGAACCCTTTTAAAACAGCTCGCGAACCACCGGTTGGGAACCACTGGCGTAGAGGAAAAAAAGAACATAGCAACAAACAAGCAAATGCGCCACAATTAATAAAGAATCTTTTTATTTGAAAAATTTTGTTTAAAACGACAAATGGCGAAGTTATTGGCTCTTCATCAAGGATTTCATATAAAAATGCTGTTTTTATGTCGAATTTATCTATGTAACTAGTTTTTGCTGCTGTAATTGCAAAACAAAGTTCTTATAGATTATTTATTATTCATCTGTTAGATTACTGAAGTCTTGTTCGAATCATCTAACAACTAGTCTCGCCTTAAATGTTTCATCTTGCTTTACTTTAAAACCCCATTTCATAGGTTAGCCAAACAAAATCTTTGAATTTTTCTGGCATTTATTATTCTTTCTCTTCAATTTTCTTATGGTTTCTTTCCTCTAGCTCTCTGCTTATAAGTTCTTCATCCAATATTTCGTCTTTTATTTCCTTTTTCCATTTCTCTTTCTCTTTTAGTGCTTTTTCATAAGTTAAATATAAGTAATACTTGTGTCTTTTTTGTTCTATGTGGTTTTCCATTAATTTTGGTTGTCTTTCTTTCGCGCTCTTTGCTAATTTCTTTATTCATTACTACTTCCTTGGTTTCTATTATATGTCCGTTTTTATTTTTGTTTCCACTCATTATTATTTCACCATTCTTGTAAACATTTACACCTTTATGTTCAAATACAACTTTTCCATCATTTTTAGCAATTTTTGCTGCAAACAATAGGTTTTTTTTCTCATTCTGGTACATATACTACTTCTTTTAATTTGCAATTTTCTGTTTCTATTTTGTCTATTGCTTCAGCTTCGAGAACTTGATCCTGTTTTGCTATTTGAATGTTTTTATTTATAATTACCTTTTTCTTTAACAATCTTTTAGCGTTTGTCATGTGTTGAAGCACCTGAAGTTACAAGAAAGCTAACTTTTCCATTATTTCTCTCATTTTTGTATCTAAAGAAACATTGATTCTCCTGGTGGTTATTCTTTTTACATATTCTAAATTGAGTTTTATTTCTACAATACCTTGCAATGTGCCCTTCTTCTCCACATTTAAAACAAGCTTTTAAAACAATTTTTATTTAAAAATTCCATAAATCAAAATTTTCACCTCCTTTTAATGACTTAATTATTAAATCCTGTTTTTATTGTTTATTCAACACAAACACTTTCTTTTCTTTTAATTGTTTCAAATGATACATATAGCATATAATCTTACCTTTTTGATGTGAAGACTACATAATTAAAAATTATTAGATCTTATCATCAAGATATTAGTATATACATATTAAAAAGTGTTGTAGTTCAAATTAAAATAAAACAAGCATTATTTCATTTAAATTAAATTACAACAAAATTAAAAGATTAATACCTGCAAATTTCCTCCCCATTTTCCTTTCCCGGCTGATTTTGCAGCATTTTCCAATTCTGATAATTCCTCAATTTCCGGTGTTATCCTAACCCCTTCTCTTCTCACACTGACAAGGCCTTCAGAAACAAGACTCTTTGTGATATTCTCCGCGGTGTTGAAATCTAATAAAAAAAAAATAATTTAGTTTTAAGATTCATTAAAATGAAAGTTTTTTAAAACCTTTTCCAAGATAAACAATTCCATATTCCCTCGTTGCATTTGGTGGTTTCTCAGAAGTGAACCAAATCTCTTCACCAACGAGTTTTTTTCGAAGGAATTCCCTAGCTTCCCAAGCAAAAGGTTCATCTTTAGTGACTTCATTACTAAAAATCAAACAAATTAATCAAATATTTAAGATTCAAATTTAACTTACTTTTCCGTGGCACGTCTGGCAAGTTTCGGAGCGATAATACTAGAAAAATTAAGTTGTTTTTCCGGTGGTGGAGCCCCTTGGGTACCTCGAATAATAACCGAGTCCCCAGAAAGGATCTATTAAAAAAATCAAACAAAATCCATTAATGACAATTGTGCCAACTCATACTTATAGGTTATGTTGTGTCAAAAACGTGATGAAATTTCGTCTTTCACCGCGATCGTTTACACGCGAGCAACCAAAATAGAATTCGAAACGAAACGATAAAAATCCGTTTTCGTATTCGTACTTTTCATTAATCATTTTAAAAATAACGTCCCATATGTGGCCGAACACATGCCAACCAAGCAAAAAAAGCAACGTGCGAGCACGCTTTTAAATCGCCGCACATCCCAAATCGTTCGAAAATGATTTCCTCTCGTTTGCGGAAACGCACAATAACCGTTTGGAAACGTCGAAAACACTTACTTGTTTCACAATTCCGCGTTTTGGCTGTATTTGTGGGGTCGTCATCGTGAATGGGCCATACGCTGTGGGCGAAAGACCGATCGTCAACTCAGTGGTGTCGTGGTCACGTGACCCCACTCGGTGGTGAAAGCGTTACACTTTCGGATTTTTCCACAGACGGATTTAACCGAAAGACCGTACCAATCGACGTTTGCTTATGATTTTTAAGCAAAAACCAACCATCGAATGCAATTGGAATTTTATTTCACTCAAATTAGAAATTGTGATGTGGCGTAAATTGTTATTTACTAACGCCATCTAACGGACATTTTTCGTATTCAATTTGTGTTCGCGTGTTCAAAGCACACTTTGCACGTGTCAATTTAATTATTTATTACATCTAATAAAAGTTTAATATTATTGATTTTATGCATTGAAATTATTTTTTAAATTGTATTATTTTATTAACTAAATAAATTAATAAAAAATAGGTTTTTTTAAATTTAGGTTAAGTTTCATATCTGTCAAAATTAGAAACGTCAAATTTGACAAATAATTTCTTTGCTATCAAATTTCAAGTTAGAATAAAAACATAGCTTTTACGTTTGTTTTATTAATATAAAATTTATTTATTTTTATAATTTAATCATCTTTATCTTCAGCCATCATTTGCGCTATTAATTTTTTTCGTTCTTCGGCTTGTCTCAATTTCATTAAAACGATACTTTCAAAATCGGAGTCTTTAATGGTAGTTCCTTTTGATGTACTTGAAATGGGCGGATTCACCCATTCTAAATTTAAAGGATTCTCAATTAAACCTTTTTCTAAATCGATGGCCATTTCAGCAGCTCGTTTAGTTTTATATTCTATTAAAGCACTCCCTTTCTTCTTAGAAGACATCACCAAAACGTTTATATCACCATATTTTAATAAAATTTTTCTTAAAATTTCCTCATTATACCCTCCATTTTTATCATCATTTTTATTAGCTTTCCATTTAATTTTTATTCGAAATTTGTCACTTTCTTCTCTTTCAACATCCGTATTTTGATTGTTTCTTTCGTTGAATATTTGTTGTGTAACGAGGGCTATTTCTTCTTCCACTTGTTTTGATCCTTCTTTTCGTAATCTTTCAATTTCTTCTTTTAATAATTGTTCAGCAGATTTTTGTTTTTGTTGGTTACTTTTGAATTGCTCTCGTGCATCTAAATCTTCTTTTAATTTCTTTCTTTTGCTATCTAAAGCTTGGTGTCTTATTTGGGCTTCTTGTCGTGCTTTTAACACACGATCATAAGCCTTTCTTGCTGATTCATCTGTTAGGATTTCTAAGATTTTTGAGAGCTTGTGAAATTCTTTTGCTGCATCTGGGTTATCAGGGTTTTTATCAGGATGGAGTTTTAATGCCTTTTTCCTATAGGCTTTTTTAATCTAGTTAAATAAATAAAAAATTGCGCTGAAGAACAAATTAAAAACAAATCTTTTTAATACTTACATCAGATGTTGAACTATCAATAGAAATTTGTAGGATTTCGTAAAGATTTTCGTTTTCTATCGATTCCATGATTAAAAAAACTTTTAACGATTACTTTTAAGGTTATGTATTGAGGTTATGTTTAGTTTGGTTATAAAAAAATTACATAGATGGAGCTCATTTAAAACTTTTAATTACTACTTTATTATTTATAAATATTTTATTTAAAGTATGACTTCAAAAGATCTTCTACTAAATGCAAATTTCCTAAATTATTAACTTTTCCTTGATATTTGTTTCCTTTCCCGGCGCCTTTTCCGCTTAAAATTTGGCAGATCCTACAAAATGTGATTAATTTTAGGTTATCTTTCATAAATCAACTTACTTATTCCCCAAATCAGCAATAACATTTTCTTTTCCATACAAAACGATGTTACCATTTCCTTTTTCCTCGCCAATCGATAAAACCAAAAAAATATCCGTAGAATTAATCAGTTTAATGAATTGGTTCATAAAATCAAAATCGCCTTCTTTACGATGAACCATAAAATATTTGGGTAATTGATCCAAACCTTTCAATTTCTCTACTTCATAAGCAGCTATATCTTTAAGTAATGATTGCTGATTTTTATTTAATATTTTGGTAGTTTTCACCAATTTCTCAACAAGATCAAAATGCTGACTAGGCGCGTTACTATAAAAATTAAATAACTAATTTTGTAATAACATAAAAAAGATGTTTACACACTTTAAAATCGTTATCAATTTTTGTTCCCGTTCCAAACAAGAACCTAACTTTTCAAGGACGCGATTTCCAACCAAAAAGTTTAACAAAACGTTATTTTTCCTCGAACTTTTTTCAACATTCAATAATTTAATAACCTGTAATTGCGCTAAATTCGAAACATGAGTTCCACAGCACATATTACTTTCAACATTCTCGATTGTAATTATGCGAACATCTCCGACGTGATCTTTTGGTAACCCCCTTGCTCTAATTTGATTTACGTCGGTGTTTTCGTTAAGTTTAAGCAATTCTACATTAACCGGTTTAGCATCCCTTATTAATTCATTACATAAGTATTCTGCTTTTTCAATTTGTTCTTTTGAAATCGACGAGGTATCTAAAAATAATTGTGTTAGAAAAACAATCTTGTTTCTAGTGTTTAAGACGTAATTTGACACTTGTAGACATGTTAATATCAAGAAATCGTTTCTATACAAGAAATCTTGTATTTCTAGCATTTTTGACATTTAAACTGTCAAATTTGACATTTTAATATCAAAAAATTTATTATTTCCAGAATTTCTGTGTTTTAAACTGTCAAGTGTGACATATTTTCAAGTTTTAAAATCATAAAATCTTTTATTTCAAGCATTTTTGACATTTTAACATCAACAAATTTATTATTTCCAAATCTTTTGACATTTAAAATGTCAAATATGACATATTTTCAAACTTTATAATCAGAAAATCTTATTCTTTTAAAATTTTTTACTTTAAACTGTCAAATTTGACACTTCTAGATATTTTAATATCAAAAAATCTTTTATCTACAACTATTGAATTATCTATTCGTTATACATTTGATTTTTGACGGGTAATGACACGCATTACTCGCATGACTGACAAGTATTGAATAATAAAGCCATTATTCCACAGTTCTGACACGACGTACTAATCAAAAAATAAAATATAACAGAAATGACAGCTTTAAAAAGCTTTATTTTCGCTTTAAAAGCTAAAATCATAAAATCTTTTATTTCTAGCATTTTTGACATTATAACATCAAGAAATTTATTATTTCCAACTCTTTTGACATTTAAACTGTCAAATACGACATATTTTCAAATTTTATAATCAGAAAATCTTATTTCTTTAACATTTTTTACTTTACACTGTCAAATTTGACATTTCTAGACATTTTAATATCAAAAATTCTTTTATATCTAGTATTTTTGACATTTAAACTGTCAAATTTGACATTTCTGAACATTTTAATATCAAAAAATCTTTTATTTTTTGTATTTTTGACATTTAATCTGTCAAATTTGACATTTTAACATCAAGAAATTTATTATTTCCAAATCTTTTGACATTTAAACTGTCAAATATGGCATATTTTCAAATTTCATAATCAGAAAATCTTATTTCTTTAACATTTTTTAATTTAAACTGTTAAATTTCACACTTCTAGACATTTTAATATCAAAAAATCTTTTATATCAATATTTTTGACATTTAAACTGTCAGATTTGGAATTTTAATATCATGAAATTTATTATTTCCAGAACTTTTGACATTTAAACTGTAAAATTTGACACTTCTAGACATTTTAATATCAAAAAATCTTTTATATCAATATTTTTGACATTTAAACTGTCAAATTTGGCATTTTAATATCAAGAAATTTATTATTTCTAGAACTTTTGACATTTAAACGGTCAAATTTGACATTTCAGAACATTTTAATATTAAAAAATTCTTGTATTTTTGACATTTATTCTATCAAATTTGACATTTTAATATCAAAAAAATTTATTATTTCCACATCTTTTCTGTTTTAAACTGTCAGATATGACATATTATCAAATTTTATAATCAGAAAATCTTATTCCTTTAACATTTTTTACTTTAAACTGTCAAATTTAACACTTCTATACATTTTAATATCAAAAGATCTTTATATTATCTAGTATTTTTGACATTTAAACTGTCAAAGTTAGCATTTTAATATCAAAAAATTTGTTATATCCAGAACTTTTGACATTTAAACTGTCAAGTCTGACATAATTTCAAATTTTATAATCAGAAAATTTTTTTCTTTAACATTTTTGACGTTAAACTGTCAAATTTGACACTTGTATACATTTTAATGTCAAGAAATCTTTTATATCTAGTATTTTCGATATTGAAACTGTCAAATTTGACATTTCTACATATTTTGATATAAAGAAATCTTTTATTTCTAGCATTTTTGACATTTAAACTATCAAATTTGACATTTTAATATCAAAAAAAATTTTTATTTCTACAACTTTTGTGTTTTAAACTGTCAGATATGACATATTTTCAAATTTTATAATCAGAAAATCTTATTTCTTTAACATTTTTTACTTTAAATTGTCAAATTTGACACTTCTATACATTTTAATATCAAGAAATCTGTTATAGCTAGTATTTTTGACATTTAAACTGTCAAAGTTGGCATTTTAATACCAAAAAAATTTGTTATATCTAGAACATTGGACATTTAAACTGTCAGATATGACATATTTTCAAATTTTATAATCAGAAAATCGTATTCCTTTAACATTTTTTACTTTAAACTGTCAAATTTGACACTTCTATACATTTTAATATCAAGAAATCTTTTATAGCTAGTATTTTTGACATTTAAACTGTCAAAGTTGGCATTTTAATACCAAAAAAATTTGTTATATCCAGAACTTTGGACATTTAAACTGTCAGATATGACATATTTTCAAATTTTATAATCAGAAAATCTTATTTCTTTAACATCTTTTACTTTAAACAGTCAAATTTGACACTTCTATACATTTTAATATCAAGAAATCTTTTATAGCTAGTATTTTTGACATTTAAACTGTCAAAGTTGGCATTTCAATATCAAAAAATTTGTTATATCCAGAACTTTGGACATTTAAACTGTCAAGTATGACATAATTTCGAATATTATAATCAGAAAATCTTTTTCCTTTAACATTTTTGACATTAAACTCTCAAATTTGACACTTGTAGACATTTTAATGTCAAGAAATCTTTTGTATCTAGTATTTTCGATATTGAAACTGTCAAATTTGACATATCTACATATTTTATATTAAGAAATCTTTTATTTCTAGCATTTTTGACATTTAAACTATCATATCTGACATTTTAATATAAAAAAATTTATTATTTCCACAACTTCTGTGCTTTAAACTGTCAGATATGACATATTTTCAAATTTTATAATCACAAAATCTTATTCCTCTAACATTTTTTACTTTAAACTGTCAAATTTGACACCTCTATACATTTTAATATCAAAAAATCTTTTATATCTAGTATTTTTGACATTTAAACTGTCAAAGTTGGAATTTAGTACCAAAAAATTTGTTACATTTAGAACTTTGGACATTTAAACTGTCAAGTATGACATAATTTCAAATTTTATAATCAGAAATTTTTTTTTTTTAACATTTTTGACATTAAACTGTCAAATTTGACATTTGTATACATTTTAATGTCAAGAAATCTTTTATATCTAGTATTTTCGATATTAAAACTGTCAAATTTGACATTTCTACATATTTTGATATCAGGAAATCTTTTATTTCTAATATTTTTGACATTTAAACTATCAAATTTGACATTTTAATATCAAAAATGCTTATTATTTCCACAACTTTTGTGTTTTAAACTGTCAGATATGACATATTTTCAAATTTCATAATCAGAAAATCTTATTCCTTTAACATTTTTTACTTTAAACTGTCAAATTTGACACTTCTATACATTTTAATATCAAAAGATCTTTTATATCTAGTATTTTTGACATTTAAACTGTCAAAGTTGGAATTTAGTACCAAAAAATTTGTTACATTTAGAACTTTGGACATTTAAACTGTCAAGTATGACATAATTTCAAATTTTATAATCAGAAAATTTTTTTTTTTAACATTTTTGACATTAAACTGTCAAATTTGACATTTGTATACATTTTAATGTCAAGAAATCTTTTATATCTAGTATTTTCGATATTAAAACTGTCAAATTTGACATTTCTACATATTTTGATATCAGGAAATCTTTTATTTCTAATATTTTTGACATTTAAACTATCAAATTTGACATTTTAATATCAAAAATGCTTATTATTTCCACAACTTTTGTGTTTTAAACTGTCAGATATGACATATTTTCAAATTTCATAATCAGAAAATCTTATTCCTTTAACATTTTTTACTTTAAACTGTCAAATTTGACACTTCTATACATTTTAATATCAAAAGATCTTTTATATCTAGTATTTTTGACATTTAAACTGTCAAAGTTGGCATTTTAATATCAAAAAATTTGTTATATCCAGAACTTTGGACATTTAAACTGTCAAGTATGACATAATTTCGAATATTATAATCAGAAAATCTTTTTCCTTTAACATTTTTGACATTAAACTCTCAAATTTGACACTTGTAGACATTTTAATGTCAAGAAATCTTTTGTATCTAGTATTTTCGATATTGAAACTGTCAAATTTGACATATCTACATATTTTGATATCAAGAAATCTTTTATTTCTAGCATTTTTGACATTTAAACTATCAAATTTGACATTTTAATATCAAAAAAATTTATTAGTTCCACAACTTCTGTGCTTTAAACTGTCAGATATGACATATTTTCAAATTTTATAATCACAAAATCTTATTCCTTTAACATTTTTTACTTTAAACTGTCAAATTTGACACCTCTATACATTTTAATATCAAAAAATCTTTTATATCTAGTATTTTTGACATTTAAACTGTCAAAGTTGGAATTTAGTACCAAAAAATTTGTTACATTTAGAACTTTGGACATTTAAACTGTCAAGTATGACATAATTTCAAATTTTATAATCAGAAAATATTTTTTCTTTAACATTTTTGACGTTAAACTGTCAAATTTGACACTTGTATACATTTTAATGTCAAGAAATCTTTTATATCTAGTATTTTCGATATTGAAACTGTCAAATTTGACATTTCTACATATTTTGATATCAAGAAATCTTTTATTTCTAGCATTTTTGACATTTAAACTATCAAATTTGACATTTTAATATCAAAAAAATTTATTATTTCCACTACTTTTGTGTTTTAAACTGTCAGATATGACATATTTTCAAATTTTATAATCAGAAAATCTTATTCCTTTAAAATTTTTTACTTTAAACTGTCAAATTTGACACTTCTATACATTTTAATATCAAAAAATCTTTTATATCTAGTATTTTTGGCTTTTAAACGGTTAAAGTTGGCATTTTAATATCAAAAAATCTTTTATATCTAGTATTTTTGGGTCATTTCACATAGATTAAAAAAAAATCGTCGATTTTTAAGCCACATGATTCTTGAATTTTTTCAAACAATTTATTATAACAAGAATTCAAACAAAATGATACTTTACCCAGTTCAACATGAGAAATTTCTTCCCCTAACCACCAAGATACTGTGGAAAATTTAAATTCCCTATCAATAATTGCCGTGAGTAAATGCTGCCCAGAATGTTGTTGCATATGATCTAAACGTCGTTTCCAATCGACGATTTGTTTAACTGGTTCGCCTATTGATAACTCGTTTTTTGTGTAATGTACGGCTTTATCACCACGTCTATTTACTTGATACACTTGAATGTTGTTTAAAAATCCGTGATCGGATGGCTAAAAATGATGCGAAAGATTATTTTATTAATGATTAATAAGTTTTAAATCGTACTTGTCCACCTCCTTCAGGAAATAAAATCGTATCTTCACACACTATTTCAAATCCATCAATTTTTTCCTTTTTGCCATTTATTACCGTTGAAAATTTCGCTTTCGTACAATCAATTACAGTTGTGGTAAACTTTTAAATTTGATTAAGTTATTTAAAAGTTTATATTATATATAAAGATGATAAAATCGTACCTCTTTCAAAAAACTATCTTCTTGGCATTTAAAGACCATCTTTTAATAATATTTCAATATATTAATTGAATATACAGGTGACTTTAGAAATAAAATTTTAGGTTAATTTTTTTTAGTTTTTAGGTTAAGTAAAATTTACACCAATTAAAATTTTATAATTAAAAAAATTAATTTGATACATAAATAATTTTAATTATAAATCACAAAAAAATGTGCTAAAAGATTAAATTATTATTTTTTAATTTAATTTATTGTTTAATAAATGATTTTCCGATAAATTATATAGTGTAAATCGTACTTTTGGTAGCTTTCATTTTGACGTAATCGAGGTGGGGATGCCATGTGTACCCCAAAAGTTCCACGTATCACCAGACTGGCAGAAATCTACTAAAAACCGTACGCTAGTGATCGTTCATTCAGCCTTTGTAATCATATTCCGTTACACATAACTCGTTTTTATTTAACACAAAACTTTGTTAAAATGAAAAACTTTTTCTTGTTTGCCCTTTTGGTTCTTCCAGCGGTTATATTCACATTCGATAATGGTAAGTAACCCCATTATTTAAGTGAGATTAAAAAAAAAATACGTGGCAATCATTTTATTTCTTATTTAAATTAAAATAAACGTTCTTTTGTATGTATTTTTATATAATTGCTTTCTTTTCGATGATTTATTCAGGTTATAAATTGATGTCATATGCTGATGAAGATCCTTTAGAAGATGAAGCTGAGGTTGAAGGCGAAGCTGATATTGAACCTGTAGCTGAAACTGAAGATGAAGAGGAAGAAGTGAAAAGTAAAGCTTCGCCAGATGCTGACACAACTTTATTATTCGTTCGGCCTGTTTCAACTGGTTCAACTCAAATGGGTAAATAATTTTTATCAAATTTACGTAAAAGTTTAAGAATCATCATGTGGCTTAAATCGCCAATTTTTTTTAATCAATCAAATGACACAAAAAACACGTTAAAAATAAAAAGAAAGCGCGTAAAGTTTCGTTAACTTACCGAAAAATTACATTAAAGTTTCCCTGTGACGTCACAAGCAACTTTAACCATGCATTTTCCTATTAAATCGCTCAACACCTAACTTACCAATCGTTTATTTTATAGCCACGCACAAAATCAATCTGATAAACTTAAAAGTAAAGTTATTTTCATTAATCTAGGTGAGATTACAACGTATATTTACGGATGAAGCACCCTTGTTTTTTCTTAGGTTTTTGATGAATAACGACTGACTACCTGCCGTTAGATAGACTGTGTGTCGAAAGACTCTGTCTTATTACTAGAACTAACACTAGGCCGAAAACTATAAACATTCGGATTTAGTCGCTCGTCTCTCAAGGCTGCTAAACTCGAATAATTCTTGTTCTAGGTCTTGTGCTAGTTCTAGTCATAGTGCTAGTGTAAAACTAGAACTAACACTAGAACTAGAAACATTCGGGTCTGAAGACGCATGGCTAAACCCGAATGTTTCTATTTCCAGGTCTAGTGTTAGTTCTAGTTTTAGTGCAATAAAAATATGCAACATGAAACTAACATTTGATCTAGAATTAGAAACATTCAGGTTTAGCTGTCTTAAGAGACGCACGGCTAAATCCGAATGTTTCTGGTTCTACATCTAGTGATAGATCTACTTTTCTTTCAATAAAAATACACCACCATCTAATACTAAAAAGCATTTAAAACTAGAACTAACACTAGACCTAAAACTAGAAACGTGCGGGTTTAGTCACACGTCTCTCAAGACGGCTAAACCCGAATGATTCTAGTTGTAGGTCTTTTGTTAGTTCTAGTGATAGTGTTTAGAGTGTTACTGTAAAACTAGAACTAGACCTAGAACTAGAAAGAGGGAGATCCACCCTCTGCTCCATGCCCAACCCGACATTTGAGAAATTCGCACTGGTTGAAATGTTAATTAACCTAAATCAAAGTGGAATTTCTACACAAAATTCTGAAATAAATCAGTAAATTAGGTAGATACGAATGTAATGTTTAAAGAGGGGAGCCCAGCACCCTTCTAAAAAGATATGTCGCATCTAGGTGACAAAGAATCGAGTGTTGTAGCAGTAATTTTTAAATCTGTAATGGAAGGGATGCAAAAGATATCACTCAACAAAAAAATAGTTTTAGTAAATAGTCTTCAGCCAGTAGTATTGTAATTTGCAAGCACTTAGTAGTGTTTTGGCAGCGGTATATAATTTTCTGCAAGCAATAAATAGTCTTTGTCAACAATATCTAGCTTTCTCCAAGCAATTAGTAGTCTTTGCAACAATAGCAAGTAAGTTGTGATCTTTTTCTGCAGTATCTAGCATTTTAGAAGCAGCAGGTAACTTTTTGAAATAGTATTTTCTCTTTCCAAGGAGTTTTTAGTCTTTTACTAGCAGTACTTAATCTTCTGATAGCAACAATTAGTCTTTTCCCAACAATATCTAGCTTTCTCCAAGCAATTAGTAATCTTTCCAACAATATTTAACATTCTGAAAGCAATTAATAGTCTTTTTAAACCAGCATCTTGTCTTTCCAAGCAGATAATAGTTTCTCCCAGCACTATTTAGTCTTCTCCAAGCAGGTCGTAATCTTTTGTAATGGTATATAGCGCTCTGAAAGCAGTAAGCAGTCTTATGGAAGCAGTATCTCGTCTTTCCAATCAGTTTGTAGTTGTTTGTTAGCATTATCTAGTCTTCTCCAAGCAGATTGTAATCATTTCCATCAATATGTAGCATTTTGGAAGCAGTAGGTACCTATTTTGGAGAGCATATCTTTTTTCCAAGCAGTTATTAGTCTTTTCCAGCAGTATCTAACATTCTGGAAGCAGTAGGTAGTTTTATGGAAAGCATATCTCTTTTCCAAACAATTATTACAGTCTTTGAAAGCAATAAGTAGTCGTGAAACCAGTATTCCGCCTATCCTAGTAGGTCAAAACCTTTAAGAGCAGTGTTTAGCGTTCTGGAAGCAATAGGTATTATTTTGAAAACAGTATCTAGTCTTTTCCAAGTAAGTTATGGTCTTTTTCTGCAGTATCTAGCATTTTAGAAGTAGCAGGTAACTTTTTGAAATAGTATTTTCTCTTTCCAAGGAGTTTTTAGTCTTTTACTAACAGTACTTAATCTTCTGATAGCAATAATTAGTCTTTTGCCAACAATATCTAGCTTTCTCCAAGCAATTAGTAGTCTTTCCAACAATATTTAACATTCTGAATGCAATTAATATAGATAATAGTTTCTCCCAGCACTATTTAGTCTTCTCCAAGCAGGTCGTAATCTTTTCTAATGGTATATAGCGCTCTGAAAGCAGTAAGCAGTCTTATGGAAGCAGTATCTCGTCTTTCCAATGAGTTTGTAGTTGCTTGTTAGCACTATCTACTCTTCTCCAAGCAGATTGTAATCTTTTCCACCAGTATCTAGCATTTTAGAAGCAGTAGGTGCCTATTTTGGAGAGCATATCTCTTCTTTCCAAACAGTTATTAGTCTTTTCCGGCAGTATCTAACATTCTAGAAGCAGTAAGTAGTTTTTTGGAAAGCATATCTCTTTTCCAAACAATTATTAAAGTCTTTGAAAGCAATAAGTAGTCTTGGAAGCAGTATTCCGCCTGTCCAAGTAGGTCAAAACCTTTAAGAGCAGTGTTTAGCGTTCTGGAAGCAATAGGTATTATTTTGAAAACAGTATCTAGTCTTTTCCAAGTAAGTTATGGTCTTTTTCTGCAGTATCTAGCATTTTAGAAGTAGCAGGTAACTTTTTGAAATAGTATTTTCTCTTTCCAAGGAGTTTTTAGTCTTTTACTAACAGTACTTAATCTTCTGATAGCAATAATTAGTCTTTTGCCAACAATATCTAGCTTTCTCCAAGCAATTAGTAGTCTTTCCAACAATATTTAACATTCTGAATGCAATTAATATAGATAATAGTTTCTCCCAGCACTATTTAGTCTTCTCCAAGCAGGTCGTAATCTTTTCTAATGGTATATAGCGCTCTGAAAGCAGTAAGCAGTCTTATGGAAGCAGTATCTCGTCTTTCCAATGAGTTTGTAGTTGCTTGTTAGCATTATCTACTCTTCTCCAAGCAGATTGTAATCTTTTCCACCAGTATCTAGCATTTTAGAAGCAGTAGGTGCCTATTTTGGAGAGCATATCTCTTCTTTCCAAACAGTTATTAGTCTTTTCCGGCAGTATCTAACATTCTGGAAGAAGTAAGTAGTTTTTTGGAAAGCATATCTCTTTTCCAAATAATTATTAAAGTCTTTGAAAGCAATAAGTAGTCGTGGAAGCAGTATTCCGCCTGTCCAAGTAGGTCAAAACCTTTAAGAGCAGTGTTTAGCGTTCTGGAAACAATAGGTATTATTTTGAAAACAGTATCTAGTCTTTTCCAAGTAACTTATGGTCTTTTTCTGCAGTATCTAGCATTTTAGAAGCAGTAGGTAACTTTTTGAAATAGTATTTCCTCTTTCCAAGCAGTTTTTAGTCCTTTACTAGCAGTACTTAATCTTTTAATAGTAATAATTAGTCTTTCCAACAATATTTAGCATTCTGAAAGCAATTAATAGTCTTTTCAAACCAGTATCTTGTCTTTCCAAGCAGATAATAATTTCTCCCAGCAGTATTTAGTCTTCTCCAAGCAGATTGTAATCTTTTCCACCAGTATCTACCATTTTGGAAGCCGTAGGTAACTTTTTGGGAAGCATATCTCTTCTTTCCAAGCAGTTATTAATCTTTTCCAGCAGTATTTAACATTCTGGAAACGGTAGGTAACTTTTTGGAAAGCATATCTCTTTTCCAAATAATTATTAAAGTCTTTGAAAGCAATAAGTGGTCTTGGAGGCAGTATTCCGCCTGTCCAAGTACGTCAAAACTTTTAACAGCAGTGTTTAGCGTTCTGGAAGCAATAATTAGTCTTTTACCAACAGTATCTAGTATTCAGGAACCAATAAGTAAAGCGACATGATGATTCTTGAATTTTGGTATACATTTTTAATTTACATATTAATCTTATTTATTTTGTTATCAATAGATCTTCCAGCTGGAATCCCCGTAGAATTCTTAGTTGGCTTTAAAAATAAAGGCCAACAAAGTTTCATTTTAGAAACGATTGACGCATCGTTCCGTTACCCCATGGATTTTAATTATTACATCCAAAATTTCTCGGCGATTCATTACAACAGAGAAGTTAAACCAAGCCAAGAGGCGACATTAGCGTACAGTTTTGAGCCATCAGAAAGTTTTGCTGGACGTCCCTTTGGTTTGAGTATTAACTTAAATTATCGCGACGAATTTGGGGCTGCTTTCCAAGAGGCCGTTTTTAATGAAACCGTGCAAATTATCGAATTGGAGGAGGGACTCGATGGCGAAACTTTCTTTTTGTATGTGTTTTTGGCCGCCGGCGTTGTTTTGCTTTTGGTTATTGGACAACAAACTTTGTTATCAGTCGGGCGTAAACGCACGGGTCGGAAAGCACCTGTTGAAACTGGAACTAGTAACCCAAATAACGTTGATTACGAATGGGTACCAAAACAAGCTTTAACAAATAGTGAGTTTTTATTTTTGATATGGTTTTTTTAATGGATTTTTAATATTTAATTTTTTTTTTTGTTGTAGGTAAACAACAAAAATCTCCAAAGACACCCAAACAAAGTCCAAGACAGCGTAAAGTTAAACGTAATACCGGTTCGGAATAGTGACTGAAATTAAAATTTTAAAAGTTTGTTTTTTTTTTTACAATTTTTTTCTTTTGTAATTTATTAAAGATCCCTCATGCTTGTTGTTTTTCTTCGTAATAGTAAGCTTAATGAGTTTCCGTTTTTAAGACATACTTTATTAAGAAAATTATTCATTTAAAATTGTATTTTTCTATTTCTTTCATATACAAAGTTGTGATTTACTGGTTAAAAATTAGTTAATGAGTGGATGCAATGTGTATATATTATGCACAAAAAATCATCATTGTCATTTTATACATTCATCAGTCTTCTAATAAAAAACGGTTTTCGTAAAAAATTCTTTTAATCATTTTTATGCTTATAAAACATCTTTATAAACTCAAACAAAACCTTTTTAATCGTTCCTCATCAATTTCATTGAACCATAATCCATCCTTTTTATAATATGAACCAACAATTACCCCATCAGCTCTTTTATATTCATGAAAATTCGCATCAGTAATTCCAGAACCAATTAAAACGGGGATTTTTAAATTATCTTTGAGGTGATCTAACTCTATTTTATCGGCGGGGGCTCCTGTTGATGTTCCAGTTAAAATTACACCGTCTGATAGGAAAAATTCAGCTGCTTTCGCTGTTTCAATTAATGAAACATCAGAAGTTATTGAATGTGAGCTGAAAATGAATTAAAAATATAATAATAAACGCTTCAGTTGGTGGAAAGAAATCTTTTAAAATTAGTAATTATTGATCCTTCTCTAAAATTGAGGTTATGTTTGCAAAAGTTAGGTTAGAAAAAAATCCAATTATGTCTTGTTAAAATTCGTATCATTTTTACCTGTGTTTCTTTTTAATATCACTAAAAATTAACACGTTTTCTGCATCAATTTCCTTTCGATATCTTAATATGTCCCCAGCACACGCATCAGTAAAACCTTCATCAGCTACGTGAGAAAAAACGAATCCTTCCACACGTACAAAGCTTAAATGGCACGCTTTAGCAATCGCTAATGCTTCTTTATTACCACACGCTAAAACCTTATTTAAAAAATTTAACAAAAACTGATAAAAATGTATTTACTTGTATTCCACAAGGCATATTTTGACCAATAATCTTTTTAATTTCCGTTGTTATTCTAGTCATTACAGCCACAGTTTCAGGTTTGAATCGTTTTGATTGTACATAAGGGATATCATGCATGTTTTCAATTAGGAGGCCATCCTAAAAATTTTATTTAATTAAACGAATCTTTTATTTGTTAACTTACAATGTTGTGTTTGAGGTAAATTTCGGTTTCTTTTAAAGCCGTATCAATGATTTTTTGTAACGAACCGTCGTATTTAGGAGTACCTAGATTGTTTTAATTAATTTATTATAATTATTGAAAGAAAAAATTGGGTGTCTAATACCTGGTAAGGCTCGTAAATGAATCATTCCAATTGTGGAAATTTTATTATTAAATAATCGTTTGAACCGGTTCATTTCAAGGAAAAGACGATTTATGTTTTATCAGAATTTTTAGATGGTGTAATTTTTTTTTATCTTTGTGCCAACATAAATTTGAATAATTATTTTAATTAATTCCTAAATATTTAATTATTAACTACTAATATAATTATATAAGTCTCTACTTGCCCGGTAAAGAACATTAAGAGATAAAAGTAAGTAGTAATATTAGAAATAAAACTGAAACCTTGCGGGTTATTCCACGCGTCTCGAATTTAAACATAACCTCAATCTTTACAAGTCATTTTTTACTCTGTACCAACCTAAATTTTAATTATACAAATCTTATCTACTTGCCTTGTAAAGAACGTTAATAGATAAATGTAAGTAATTAGTAAGTTAGAAATAAAACTAAAAAGTGGCGGGTTATACCGTTCGTTTCATATTTTGACATAACCTCAATCTTTATAAAAGTCATTTTTAACTTTGTATCAGCGTTACCAACCTATGCCGACCAAATGTCGGTAGAATCAATAGTAAAAAATCGGTAGGTTTAAATACAAAGTCAGAAAATGTTGTTCGGTATATACAGGTGTCCCATATCTTCTGCATCAGAACATTATACGGCCCCGTTCGGTTATTACAACATCTTCGAAAAATTTTTATTAAAAATTGCTTCAGAATAATATATCCTGTATATAAGTTATGAATTACACACGGGAGGTTGTATTTTTAAAAAATCGCGTACACCTGAAGACCCTTACAAAGTTACCTTGTTGAAGGTTTGATTAAGGTTATTGTTTTTCGGTGTTGCTCTTAGATGCGTCAATATCCAGAAAAATACAAAAATATGAAAATTTGATGAATTTGTTGCTTTTTCAAGTTATTAAAGGTAACACTTGCGAATCGGAGCATGCTATAAGAAATCTTTTATAACAAAAATTATTGCAAATTTTATTGTTAACAATATTGCTCTCTTGCACTTTTGCTCTTAGATAAATGAATATCGAGATATATAAGAAAATATGAAAATTTTATGAATTTGTTGCTTTTTCAAGTTATTAAAGGTAACTTGAGAATCAGAGCTTGCTATAAGAAAACTTTTATAACAAAAATTGTTGCAAATTTTATTGTTAACAATATTGCTCTCTTGCACTTTTGCTCTTAGATACGTCAATATCGAGGTAGATACGAAAATATGAAAATTTGATGAATTTGTTGCTCTTTCAAGTTATTAAAGGTAACACTTGAGAATCGGAGCTTGCTATAAGAAAACTTTTATAACAAAAATTGTTGCAAATTTTATTGTTAACAATATTGCTCTCTTGCACTTTTGCTCTTAGATACGTCAATATCGAGGTAGATACGAAAATATGAAAATTTGATGAATTTGTTGCTCTTTCAAGTTATTAAAGGTAACACTTGAGAATCGGAGCTTGCTATAAGAAAACTTTTATAACAAAAATTGTTGCAAATTTTATTGTTAACAATATTGCTCTCTTGCACTTTTGCTCTTAGATACGTCAATATCGAGGTAGATACGAAAATATGAAAATTTGATGAATTTGTTGCTCTTTCAAGTTATTAAAGGTAACACTTGAGAATCGGAGCTTGCTATAAGAAAACTTTTATAACAAAAATTGTTGCAAATTTTATTGTTAACAATATTGCTCTCTTGCACTTTTGCTCTTAGATACGTCAATATCGAGGTAGATACGAAAATATGAAAATTTGATGAATTTGTTGCTCTTTCAAGTTATTAAAGGTAACACTTGAGAATCGGAGCTTGCTATAAGAAAACTTTTATAACAAAAATTGTTGCAAATTTTATTGTTAACAATATTGCTCTCTTGCACTTTTGCTCTTAGATACGTCAATATTGAGATAGATACGAAAATATGAAAATTTAATGAGTCTATAGCTCTTTCAAGTTAATAAAGGTAACACTTGGAAATCGGAGCTTGCTATAAGAAAACTTTTATAACAAAAATTGTTGCAAATTTTATTGTTAACAATATTGCTCTTTTGCACTTATGCTCTTAGATACGTCAATATTGAGATAGATACGAAGATATGAAAATTTTATAAATTTGTTGTGACTTCAAGTTATTAAAGGTAACACTTGAGTATCAAAGCATGTTACAAAAAAACTTTTAGCACAAAAGTTGTAGCAAATTTTATTGTTAACAATATTGTTCTCTTGTACTTTAGCTCTTAAATGCGTCAATATCGAGAAGAGTACGAAAATACGAAAATTTTATGTATTTGTTGCGCTTTCAAGTTATTAAAGGTAACACTTGGGAATCGGAGCTTGCTATAAGAAAACTTTTATAACAAAAGTTGTAGCAAATTTTATTGTTAACAATATTGCTCTCTTGCACTTTTAGTCTTAGATACGTCAATATCGAGATAGATACGAAAATATGAAAATTTTATGAAGTTGTTGCTCTTTCAAGTTATTAAAGGTAACACTTGGGAATCAAAGTATGTTACAAAAAAACTTTTAGCACAAAAGTTGTAGCAAATTTTATTGTTAACACTATTGCTCTCTTGTACTTTACCTCTTAAATGCATCAATATCGAGAAAGGGACGAAAATATGAAAATTTGATGAATTTGTTGCTTTTTCAAATTATTAAAGGTAACACTTGGGAATCGGAGCTTGCTATAAGAAAACTTTTATAACAAAAATGGTTGCAAATTTTATTGTTAACAATATTGCTCTCTTGCACTTTTGTTCTTAGATACGTCAATATCAAGATAGATACGAAAATTTTATGTATTTGTTGCTCTTTCAAGTTATTAAAGGTAACGCTTACGAATCGGAGCTTGCTATAAGAAAACTTTTATAACAAAAATTGTTCCAAATTTTATTCTTAACAATATTGCTCTCTTGCACTTTTGCTCTTAGATACGTCAATATCGAAATAGATATGAAAATTTTATGAATTTGTTGCCTTATCAAGTTATTAAAGGTAACACTTGGGAATCGGAACGTGTTATAAAAAAACTTTTAGGACAAAAGTTGTAGCAAATTTTATTGTTAACATTATTGCTCTCTTGCACTTTTGCTATTAGATGCGTCAATATCGTGATAGATACGAATATATGAAAATGTGATGAATCTGCAGCTTTTTTAAGTTATTAAAGCTAATACTCGGGAATTGCAGCGTCTTACAAAAAAACTTTTACAATAAAAGTTGTAGAAAATTTTATTGTTAACAATATTGTTCTCTTGCATTTTTGCTCTTAGATGCGTCAATATCTATTTTGACAATATTATGTTTTAAACCGTTTTCAAATTAGGCAGGGGGTACTTATGACGCGTACTGTATATACTAACGATCTGGCAACGTTGCTTGAGCGACATTGCCATATCGTTGGTATATACTTTTATGCAATATAAGTAGGGTAATTCCCATAAGGTACAATTTTTGTCGCAATTGCATTGATTTTAAGTACGATGTGTTTGATAATATGTACTTTGTTAAAATGTTGAAAATCTATATCGGTAGGGTTGGCAACGCTGCTTTGTACCAACCTAAATATGGCTAACAATTTAACGATTTAGTTTAATTAATTTCTAAATATTTTAACTAATTAATTTTCTATCTAATTTAATTATAAGCCTTATCTACTTGCCCGGTAAAGAACGTTAAGAGATAAAAGTAAGTAATAATGTGATAATGTTAGAAATAAAACTGAAAACTTGCGGGTTATTTCGCTCGTCTCAAATTTTGACATAACCTCAATCTTTACAAGCCATTTTTTACTCTGTACCAACCTAAATATGACTAAAAATTAATTTAACGATTTATTTTAATTAATTTTAAATATTTTAAACTATTTACTACAAATTTAATTATACAAGCCTTATTTACTAGCCCTGTAAAGAACGTTAATAGATAAAAGTAAGTAATTATGTTAGAAATAAAACTAAAAAGTTGCGGCTTATATCGTTCGTTTCATATTTTGACATAACCTCAATCTTTATAAAAGTCATTTTTAATTTTGTACCAACCTAAATATGACTAAAAATTAATTTAACGATTTATTATAATTAATTTTAAATATCTTAAATTATTTACTACTAATTTAATTATACAAGCCTTATTTACTTGCTCGGTAAAGAACGTTAATAAATATAAATAATAACGGTAGAAATAAAACTAAATATATACATAACCTCAATCTTTATAAAAGTCATTTTTAATTTTGTACCAACCTAAATATGACTAAAAATTAATTGAATGATTTATTTTAATTAATTTTAAATATTTTAAATTATTTACTACTAATGTAATTATACAAGCTTTATTTACTAGCCCTGTAAAGAACGTTAATAAATATAAACAATAATGGTAGAAATAAAACTAAAACTAGAAATTTTGAGGTTATTCGTCAAGACGCGCGGCATAACCTCAAAAATTTCTAGTTTTAGTTTTATTTCTTTTGATAATCTAAATCATTGCAATCAGGACAAATAGTTAATGTGTGTTTTAACATTAAATTATCTACGTAATATGATTTCCAATACGTATTCTAATGAAAAAGGTGAGTTTCAAATCGAATCATTTTTTCGACAACGAAAAAGTAATAATTAATATTTAACTTTTTTAAATTGTTTACTTATTTAGTTAAATGTCTACAGAACAAGCTTCAGTTATTGATTAACCACAGAGAAGTAAATAATAAAATGCGTAAATTAACTTATAACTTATAATGCTTATAATTTTGGATAGATGTCACTTGTAACTAACCTAACTTTTTATATATATACTTTTTTAATACAATTACAGTAAAAATATCTTTATTTACAGAAAAATATCCACATTATATTTTCAAGCGTGTCTTACGAAACTAGTTTTTTAATATACTATTAACGTCATATATTTTACACTGTAAAATAAAAACAAGGTTTTTTTGGTTGCCTAAAATTAAATAAATTAATAAAAATAGATTTTTAAGTAACTATTCATTAACGATTTCTTTTAACTAATTAAGAACTTGAGAGAATGCTAAATTATTATTTAATTTTTAGAAAATTAATGCATTCTACGTCTTCTTTATGCTGGATTTCCCCCTATCAGATAATTTATTTACAAACTTGTTATTAACTGAACCGGTTCAAGGTTTCTTCTCCTTCTCAAAGGTTAAAAAAATAACAGTGTTTAAGAATCATTCCATGCGAAAGGTTGTTCGTTTTGAAAATTCTTTTTGAAGCTTATCTTAAAAATGAGTGCAATTGCACTTTTAATTTTTATTAGCTTCTTTGGGGTGGAAGTGATTGCGGAATATATCGTTCCCGAACCAACTATTGAAGTTTTTCATCCTAAAGGATTTACTGTTTCTATACCAGGTGAGTCAGAACTGATCAAGAATTAAGTTTGAATATAATTAACATTTTTGGTTTAGATGATGGCGAAATAAAATTATTTGCTTTTCACGGAAAGATCAACGAAGAATTCGATGGAAGAGAAGCCGGGACGTTTGCTAGAGATATAACATTAGCAAAAAATGGAAAATGGACCTTTACAGANCAATTACAGTAAAAATATCTTTATTTACAGAAAAATATCCACATTATATTTTCAAGCGTGTCTTACGAAACTAGTTTTTTAATATACTATTAACGTCATATATTTTACACTGTAAAATAAAAACAAGGTTTTTTTGGTTGCCTAAAATTAAATAAATTAATAAAAATAGATTTTTAAGTAACTATTCATTAACGATTTCTTTTAACTAATTAAGAACTTGAGAGAATGCTAAATTATTATTTAATTTTTAGAAAATTAATGCATTCTACGTCTTCTTTATGCTGGATTTCCCCCTATCAGATAATTTATTTACAAACTTGTTATTAACTGAACCGGTTCAAGGTTTCTTCTCCTTCTCAAAGGTTAAAAAAATAGCAGTCTTTAAGAATCCTTCCATGCGAGAGGTTGTTCGTTTTGAGAATTCTTTTTGAAGCTTATCTTAAAAATGAGTGCAATTGCACTATTAATTTTTATTAGCTTTTTTGGGGTGGAAGTGATTGCGGAATATATCGTTCCCGAACCAACTATTGAAGTTTTTCATCCTAAAGGATTTACTGTTTCTATACCAGGTGAGTCAGAACTGATCAAGAATTAAGTTTGAATATAATTAACATTTTTGGTTTAGATGATGGCGAAATAAAATTATTTGCTTTTCACGGAAAGATCAACGAAGAATTCGATGGAAGAGAAGCCGGGACGTTTGCTAGAGATATAACATTAGCAAAAAATGGAAAATGGACCTTTACAGATAGAAATACAAGGCTTAAAAAAGGAGATATTATCTACTATTGGTTGTATGTAATTAATAAGAACGACAACTTGGGGTATCTTAGAGAGCATGAATTTTACACAGTAACAGGTATGAATAAAAAAAATTTAACGTTTTTAATTTTGTAACAATTATCTTAATTAATCATATACTTTTTTTTGTTTCTAATGAATTCTAGGTGCTAATAAAGAATCGGATGGAATTGTGTTCCCAACACCAGAAATACCTCAAACTGTTAATAAAACCAATGAATACCCAACATCCACCCTTTCTAATTTAGAACTTCAAAGATTAGTTCTTTTAGAACAATTAGAATTAATCCGTTTACAATCGCAACCGGAGAATAAAATTAAATTGGAGAAATTAAATCAGAACTCTTTAAATAATTCCGAATTGCAAAGAGTTGTTTTAGAACAACAATTATTGTTGATTCGTTTTCAAAAAGAAAATTTTTTGAAATTGCAATGTTCTTGTTCGCTTAATTAAAAAGAAATACAATATAAAATAATTATGCCTTGGAGGCAATAAAAAATTTACTTCTCTTTAAATTTAACCTTGAACTTTAATAAAAAAAATCTTTTCATCAAATAATCGTTTCATATCGCAAGTCATACTCTTTTAAAATAAAATTCTGGTGTTGGCCACACTGATTATGAGTTTATGAATTTATATAGGTTAGGTTCAAAAGTTATCAATTTCGTAAGTTATACAAATTAAAATTTATTTTCTTTTTTATTTAGATATACAAAACGGTAACAACAAAAATAACCAGCCGAATAACAACAATAATAATAAAAATGAACAACCAACAAAAGCACCTCCCGTTATCACAACTTCTTCAGTTTGTTATGAAACTCTTACAAAAGTTAATGGAGCTTCGTCTTGTTCTGGAAGATTAATATTTTCGGAAGAATTCTCCGATATAAATCGATGGCAAAAGGAAATTAGATTCGCTTCAGAACCTGTATTAAAAACAATCATAAAACACATCTTATCATTGTGACTATTTTCGTTTTTTGTAGGATTACGAATTTGTAACTTACACAGACGACGCTGATAATTTATATTTAAGAAACGGCCAAATTCATTTCAAACCAATTTTAGCCGAAGATAAATATGAAGTTGGTTTTGTCACTTCATCAAAGGAGTTTGATTTAAAATTGAGGTTAGTTCACAAAAAATTTTGACGTTTATAAATTTGAGGTTAAAAAAAACTTTCAAAAATCATCATATCGCTTAAAAATCGACAATTTCTTTTTATTCGACAAGAAATCACTCAAATAAGCCGTTACAAATAAATAAAAGGACGGAAAAGTGTAAAACATACCGAAATGTCACTTTAAAGTTTCGACGTGACGTCACTTTTTGTGTTGTTTCTTAGGTTTTCGACACACAACGATTAAAATGTTGTTTACTTGGTTGTTTACCATCTATAAACTAAAGATAACCTAAAATCTTTAACTTATTTCCTAAATGCTAGATACTGTTGGTAAAAGACTAATTATTGCTATCAGAAGATTAAATACTGCTAGTAAAAGGCTAAAAACTGCTTGAAAAGAGGAAATACTATTTCAAAAAGTTACCTTCTCATTCTAAAATGCTAGATACTACAGAAAAAGAGCATGACTTACTTGGAAAAGACTAGACACTGTTTTCAAAATAATACCTATTGCTTCCAGAACGCTAAACACTGCTCTTAAAGGTTTTGACCTACTTGGATAGGCGGAATACTGCTTCCAAGACTACTTATTGCTTTCAAAGACTTTAATAATTGTTTGGAAAAGAGATAAGTTTTCCAAAAAGCTACTTACTGCTTCCAACATGTTACATACTGCTGGAAAAGACTAATAACTACTTGGAAAAAAGAGATATGCTCTCCAGAAAAGGTACCTACTGCTTCCAAAATGCTAGATACTGGTGGAAAAGATTACAATCTGCTTGGAGAAGACTAGATAGTGCTAATAAACAACTACAAACTGATTGGAAAGACGAGATACTGCTTCCATAAGACTACTTACTGTTTTCAGAGCGCTATATACTACTAGAAAAGATTACAATCTGCTTGGAAAAGACTAAATAGTGTTGCAAGAAACTATTATCTGTTTGGAAAGACAAGATACTGTTTTCAAAAGACTATTAACTACTTTCAGAATGCTAAATATTGTTGGATACACTACTAATTGCTTGGAGAAAGCTAGATATTGTTGGTAAAAGACTAATTGTTGCTATCAGAAGATTAAATACTGCTAGTAAAAGGTTAAAAAGTGCTTGGAAAGAGGAAATACTATTTCAAAAAGTTACCTTCTCATTCTAAAATGCTAGATACTACAGAAAAAGGCCACAACTTACTTGAGAAAGACTAGATACTGTTTTCAAAATAATACCTATTGCTTCCCGAACTTTAAACACTGCTGTTAAAGGATTTAACCTACTTGGACAGGCGGAATACTGCTTCCAAGACTACTTATTGCTTTCAAAGACTTTAATAAAGTTAACTTTCAGAAGACTAGATAGTGCTAACAAACAACTACAAACTGATTGGAAAGACGAGATACTGCTTCCATAAGACTACTTACTGCTTTCAGAGCGCTATATACTACTAGAAAAGATTACAACCTGCTTGGAGAACACTAAATACTGCTGGGAGAAACTATTATCTGCTTGGAAAGACAAGATACTGTTTTTAAAAGACTATTAACTGCTTTCAGAATGCTAAATATTGTTGGAAAGACTACTAATTGCTTGGAGAAAGCTAGATATTGCAGGCAAAAGACTAATTATTGCTATCAGTAGATTAAATACTGCTAGTAAAAGACTAAAAACTGCTTAGAAAGAGGAAATACTATTTCAAAAGTTACCTACTGTTTCTAAAATGTGTAGATACTGCAGAAAAAGACCACAACTTACTTGGAAAAGACTAGATACTGTTTTCAAAATAATACCTATTGCTTCCAGAACGATAAATACTGCTCTTAAAGGTTGTGACCTGCTTGGACAGGTGGAATACTGCTTACAAGACTACTTATTGCTTTCAAAGACTTTAATAATTGTTTGGGAAAAAGATATGCTTTCCATAAAACTATTTACTACTTCCAGAATGTTAGATACTACTGGAAAAGACTAATAACTACTTGGAAAGAAGAGATATGCTTCCCAAAAAGTTACCTACGGCTTCCAAAATGCTAGATACTGGTGGAAAAGATTACAATCTGCTTGGAGAAGACTAGATAGTGCTAACAAACAACTACAAACTGATTGGAAAGACGAGATACTGCTTCCATAAGACTACTTACTGCTTTCAGAGCGCTATATACTACTAGAAAAGATTACAATCTGCTTGGAGAAGACTAAATACTGCTGGGAGAAATTATTATCTGCTTGGAAAGACAAGATACTGTTTTCAAAAGACTATTAACTACTTTCAGAATGCTAAATATTGTTGGATAGACTACTAATTGCTTGGAGAAAGCTAGATATTGTTGGCAAAAGACTAATTATTGCTATCAGAAGATTAAATACTGCTAATAAAAGACTAAAAACAGCTTGGAAAGAGTAAATACTATTTCAAAAAGTTACCTTCTGATTCTAAAATGCTAGATACTGCAGAAAAAGGCCACAACATACTTGAGAAAGACTAGATACTGTTTTTAAAATAATACCTATTGCATCCCGAACTTTAAACACTGCTGTTAAAGGATTTAACCTACTTGGACAGGCGGAATACTGCTTCCAAGACTACTTATTGCTTTCAAAGACTTTAATAATTGTTTGGAAAAGAGATAAGCTTTCCAAAAAGCTACTTACTGCTTCCAGAATGTTAGATACTGCTGGAAAAGACTAATAACTACTTGGAAAAAAGAGATATGCTCTCCAGAAAAGGTACCTACTGCTTCCAAAATGCTAGATACTGGTGGAAAAGATTACAATCTGCTTGGAGAAGACTAGATAGTGCTAATAAACAACTACAAACTGATTGGAAAGACGAGATACTGCTTCCATAAGACTACTTACTGTTTTCAGAGCGCTACATACTACTAGAAAAGATTACAATTTGCTTGGAGAAGACTAAATACTGTTGCGAGAAACTATTATCTGCTTGGAAAGACAAGATACTGTTTTCAAAAGACCATTAACTACTTTCGGAATGCTAAATATTGTTGGATAGACTACTAACTGCTTGGAGAAAATTTAGATATTGTTGGCAAAAGACTAATTATTGCTATCAGAAAATTAAATACTGGTAGTAAAAAACTAAAAACTGCTTGGAAAGAGGAAATACTATTTCAAAAGTTATCTACTGCTTCTAAAATGCTAGATACTGCAGAAAAAGACCATAACTTACTTGGAAAAGACTAGATACTGTTTTCAAAATAATACCTATTGCTTCCAGAACGCTAAACACTACTCTTAAAGGTTTTGACCTAGTTGGACAGGCGGAATACTGCTTCCAAGACTACTTATTGCTTTCAAAGACTTTAATAATTGTTTGGAAAAAAGATATGCTTTCCATAAAACTACTTACTACTTCCAGAATGTTAGATACTACTGGAAAAGACTAATAACTACTTGGAAAGAAGAGATATGCTTCCCAAAAAGTTACCTACGGCTTCCAAAATGCTAGATACTGGTGGAAAAGATTACAATCTGCTTGGAGAAGACTAGATAGTGCTAACAAACAACTACAAACTGATTGGAAAGACGAGATACTGCTTCCATAAGACTACTTACTGCTTTCAGAGCGCTATATATTACTAGAAAAGATTACAACCTGCTTGGAGAACACTAAATACTGCTGGGAGAAACTATTATCTGCTTGGAAAGACAAGATATTATTCTCAAAAAACTATTTGACCTACTTGGATAGGCGGAATACTGCTTCCAAGACTAGTTATTGCTTTCAAAGACTTTTATAATTGTTTGGAAAAGACATATGCTTTCCAAAAAACTACTTACTGCTTCCAAAATGTTAGATACCGGTGGAAAAGACTAATAACTACTTGGAAAGAAAAGATATGCTCTCCAAAAAAGGTACCTACTGCTTCCAAAATGCTAGATACTGGTGGAAAAGATTACAATTTGCTTGGAGAAGACTAGATAGTGCTAACAAACAACTACAAACTGATTTCAAAGACGAGATACTGCTTCCATAAGACTACTTACTGCTTTCAGAGCGCTATATACTACTAGAAAAGATTACAATCTGCTTGGTGAAGACCAAATACTGCTGGGAGAAACTATTATCTGGTTGGAAAAATAAGATACTGTTTTCAAAAGACCATTAACTACTTTCAGAATGCTAAATATTGTTGGATAGACTACTAATTCCTTGGAGAAAGTTAGATATTGTTGGCAAAAGACTAATTATTGCTATCAGAAAATGAAATACTGGTAGTAAAAGACTAAAAACTGCTTGGAAAGAGGAAATACTATTTCAAAAAGTTACCTACTACTTCTAAAATGCTAGATACTGCAGAAAAAGACCACAACTTACTTGGAAAAGACTAGATACTATTTTCAAAATAATACCTATTGCTTCCAGAACGATAAACACTGCTCTTAAAAGTTTTGACCTACTTGGACAGGCGAAATACTGCTTCCAAGACTACTTATTGTTTTCAAAGACTTTAATAATTGTTTGGAAAAGAGTTATGCTTTCCAAAAAATTACTTACTGCTTCCAGAATGTTAGATACTGCTGGAAAAGACTAATAACTACTTGGAAAGAAAAGATATGCTCTCCAAAAAAGGTACCTACTGCTTCCAAAATGCTAGATACTGGTGGAAAAAATTAGAATCTGCTTGGAGAAGACTAGATAGCGCTAACAAACAACTACAAACTCATTGGAAAGACGAGATACTGCTTTCATAAGACTACTTACTGCTTTCAGAGCGCTATATACCACTAGAAAAGATTACAACCTGCTTGGAGAGGACTAAATACTACTGGGAGAAACTATTATATGCTTGGAAAGACAAGATACTGTTTTTAAAAGACTATTAACTGCTTTCAGAATGCTAAATATTGTTGGATAGACTACTAATCGCTTGGAGAAAGCTAGATATTGTTGGCAAAAGACTAATTATTGCTATCAGAAAATTAAATACTGGTAGTAAAAAACTAAAAACTGATTGGAAAGAGGAAATACTATTTCAAAAGTTATCTACTGCTTCTAAAACGCTAGATACTGCAGAAAAAGACCATAACTTACTTGGAAAAGACTAGATACTGTTTTCAAAATAATACCTATTCCTTCCAGAACGCTAAACACTGCTCTTAAAGGTTTTGACCTACTTGGACAGGCGGAATACTGCTTCCAAAACTACTTATTGCTTTCAAAGACTTTAATAAAGTTAACTTTCAGAAGACTAGATAGTGCTAACAAGCAACTACAAACTGATTTTAAAGACGAGATACTGCTTCCATAAGACTACTTACTGCTTTCAGAGCGCTATATACTACTAGAAAAGATTACAACCTGCTAGGAGAAGACTAAATACTGCTGGGAGAAACTATTATCTGCTTGGAAAGACAAGATACTGTTTTTAAAAGACTATTAATTGAATACAACTATTAAGACTACTAATTGCTTGGAGAAAGCCAGATATTGTTGGCAAAAGACTATTTAATGCTTTCAGAAAACAATACAAGGTAATTCAAATTCCACCCCTACCATTGGAATCTCAGAAACCATAAGAGATACAGAAATGGTTAAATGGAGGCAAAGTGGCGTATCTTAGCGCTCATCATTTTTCAACAAAGTTTTTGGATGTAGCCGTTTTAGTTTTTAAAATATGGCCGAAAAACGAAAAAATGACTTTTTCGTCTTTAGCCCATAACTTATTTATTTTTCGTTTTTACTAGAAATTTTCTCTGACATTTCGTTCTCGTAAAACGAAAAAAAAAAAAAACATTGGCGTTCATAAGAAAAAATAAACCTGAGGATAGTTTCACGAAAACGAAACGTCGGAGAAAATTTCTAATGTCATGACATTTTTCATAAAAAGTTGCCTTAACAATGTTTTTTCAGATTCTAGAATCTATCTAATGGCAGGTAATCAGTCGTTATGCATCGAAACCCTAAGAAAAACAAGGGTGTTTCCTATTAACGCACTTTCTTTTTATTTTTAACCTTTTTTTTGGGTCATTTCACATTGATTAAAAAAAAATCTACCAATTTTAAGCCATATGACATACATATAAATATTTTTTAGGTTAAAAAACTTTGACGTGTATAAATTTGAAGTTAGTTTAAAAAAAAATATTTTTCTAGGTGTACATCATCAATTGAAAATGAATGTAAAAGAAAAGCAGTGGGGGCGAATATCCTCCCACCAGTTTTCTCATCGAGAATTAATACAAGACCATCCTTTTCATTTCTTTATGGAAAGGTTGAAATAAAAGCAAAATTACCGAAAGGAAATTGGATTTATCCGGAGCTTTATTTAACACCGAAAAAATTTTCTTACGGTTCTGGGTTTAATTCCGGTGAGATGAGAATAGCTTTTGTGTTAGGAAATGAACATTTAAATGGTGCATTATGTGGTGGACTTATTTTGGGGGATGACGAAAAGGGAAGAAATTTTGCTTTAAAAAAAATTATTAAAAATATAAATTGGAGCGATGATTTTCATATCTTTGGATTGGAATGGTACCGTGACAAAGTGACCGTTTCCGTTGATGGAGTCCCTTATGGAAATATTTACCCACCATCAGGTGGATTTGGCGATGGTTATAAATCGCCAAGTTCGGAGAAATGGAAACAAGGAGATGTTATGGCCCCGTTCGACCAAGAAGTTAATTTATTTTTTTTTGTTTAGAAAAAATTATTTAATTTTTTATTTTTATAGATGATAATTACTTTGGGAGTTGGCGTTGGTGGCCATGCTATTCCCGATGTCGAAGGAAAACCTTATACAAACCAAGACTCAAAAGAAGTGTTTCATTTTTATAAGGCCAAACATAATTATTTGCCATCTTGGCAAGAAGGAAATGAATTAATTGTGGATTATGTAAAAGTTTTTGCTTTATAAAAGCAAATTTTCTACTTTGTCTAAAATAAAATCTTTTTATACATAATCATTACATTTTCTAAAAATTATGTTTAGTTTTTGAGGAATAAATTAGCAAAGATGATCTATTTTTGACAAACTCCAGTTTTCACCTTCTTTGTCTTATCATTTTTTGCCTTAGCAGTTTATTTCAAGTATCCAATCTCTATTCAGGCAAATTTCTTTCTGCCAAGTCTCCTTTTACTCTATACAGCCTTTTTTTCTGTTACCAGTCATTTTCCAGTCTCCTTCCTCTATGTCCAGTCTCAATCCAGTCTTTGCTTTCTCTGCCTTCTTTTGGCTTAGCAGATTTTTTCAAGTGCCCAGTCTCTCTCTCTTGTCTCCTTGTTGTCTTGCCAATCTCTATATATGCTTATTAAACCAAGAAGAAATATGCAGCAAATGTACTCTACACCATATAAAGGCATAAAAAACAAAAAAAATACAAAAGTAATAACGTTTATACAATTTATTAATTTATAAATTAAACATTTACACGCTAGATGATAAACATCTGTGTTGTGCTTTTTCTTCAAATCATTTTACTCGCATGATTTTGAGTGATGTTGTAATTTATAAGAATGTTGGCCTAAAATTTAAGAAATAAATCACTGTCATTTCATGTATTCCTGGGCCAAGTTCGAAAATCTGAAACGTTTTTGAAAATCTCTTATACGTAAATAAGGAGATTATAAAATTTAAGACCCTTGTAAAACTGATTTAAAGGGATTTTGGAGTATACAGTCTTTGGTTGATCTTATTTCTTGTGTTATAGTTATGATTTATTGCAGTTTGCGAATTATGTGTCTGTGATGGTATTTGAGATAGGAGAGAACATATTTTAAGTAAAGAGGACGGATATTGGTTCCTCGAAAAATTGACTCTCAACATATCTAAGATTGTATCATAGCTCATTTCTCAGACAATGATTCCGAGGTTAAGACTTGAAACTACTCGCGTTGTAAATTGTCAGTAAGAGTTTTCTATCTGTAACATTTCTGAAAAGGAATTAACATTTTGATTTTAGAGGTTATTTCCGTAATATGATTCTGCCATTTTAGATGTATATCTAAGATAAGGCTTAAATATCAATTAGGTAATAAAAGTGTCCTCTTTCCAATGAACCAACCGGTTTTGAAAAATAACTTTTAGTTTTTGAGAAAACAATATGTGAAGTTTTGATAAAATTTTCGATGTTGCAATTTTCATCGATAATTTTCAAGATTTGCTATAAAATTAATTTCTTGAAGGATCCTTGTGGAAATATCACCAATTATTAATTAAAGTATCCTCTTTTTAATGCAAAAAGCCGTTTTGAAAAAACACTTTCAGTTCTTGAGAAATAAATTTTTGAAATAATCGACATTTTTTTCGAATTTTACTATTTTCGCCGATTAAGTTTTAAAAATTCGTATAAAATCCATTTCTTGGAATATGAGTATGAAAATTTCCCAAAGTGTTAATAAAAGTGTCCTCTTTCCAATGAACCAACCCGTTTTGAAAAATAACTTTTAGTTTTTGAGAAAATAGTATTTGAAGTTTTGATAAAATTTTCGATGTTCCAATTTTCATCGATAACTTTCAAAATTCGCTATAAAATAAATTTTTTGAAGGATCCTTGTGGAAATATCACCAACTATTAACTAAAGTATCCTCTTTTTAATGCAAAAAGCCGTTTTGAAAAAACACTTTTAGTTCTTGAGAAATAAATTTTTGAAATAATCGACAATTTTTTCGAATTTTTCAATTTTCACGGATTAAGTTTTAAAAATTCGTATAAAATCCATTTCTTGGAATATGAGTATGAAAATTTCCCAAAGTGTTAATAAAAGTGTCCTCTTTCCAATGAACCAATACGTTTTGAAAAATAACTTTTAGTTTTTGAGAAAACAATATTTGAAGTTTTGATAAAATTTTTGATGTTGCAATTTTGATCCTTGTGGAAATATCACCAATTATTAATTAAAGCCTTTTAGAGTTGCTTCGTTAGTTAAATCAGCATCAAAAAAGTTCATTTTGTATCTTGTATCTTGTTTTCTTACATTCTTTTTCAAGTGTCCCATCTCCCTCTCTTGTCTCCTTGTTGTCTTGCCAGTCACTATTCTTTCTGCCAAGTCTGCTTTTACTCTATACAGCCTTCTTCTTGTATTGTCAGTCGCTTTCCAGTCTCTCTCCTCTTTGTAAAGTCTCAATCCAATCTTTGCCTTCTCTCTACTATCATTTTTTTTGCATTAGCAGTTTCTTTCACGTATCCCATTTCTCTCTTTTATCTCATTNTTGAAATAATCGACAATTTTTTCGAATTTTTCAATTTTCACGGATTAAGTTTTAAAAATTCGTATAAAATCCATTTCTTGGAATATGAGTATGAAAATTTTCCAAAGTGTTAATAAAAGTGTCCTCTTTCCAAAAAACCAACCCGTTTTGAAAAATAACTTTTAGTTTTTGAGAAAACAATATTTAATGATAAAATTTTCGATGTTGCAGTTTTCATCGATAAATTTCAAAATTCGTTATAAAATTAATTTCTTTCATTTTGTATCTTGGATCCAAATAAGTTGACATATCAGCTTTCTTATTAATTTCATTTTTATTCAAATATCGCACTACTGTAAGCCTTTGCCTTCTCTGTCTTATCGTTTTCTTACATTCTTTTTCAAGTGTCCCATCTCCCTCTCTTGTTTCCTTGTTGTCTTGCCAGTCACTATTCTTTCTGCCAAGTCTCCTTTTACTCTATACAGCCTTCTTCTTGTATTGTCAGTCGCTTTCCAGTCTCTCTCCCCTTTGTAAAGTCTCAATCCAATCTTTGCCTTCTCTGTCCTACCATTTTTTTTACGTTAGCAGTTTCTTTCACGTATCCCATTTCTCTCTTTTATCTCCTTGTTGTCTTGCCAGTCTCTATTCAGCCACTATTCTCTCTGCTCAGTCTCATTCATGTCTCTATTCAACCTTCTTCTTCATTTGCCACTCCTTTTCCAGCCTCCCTTCTCTTTGTCCAGTTCAATCCAGTCTTTGCCTTATTTGTCTTGTTATTTTCTCTTGCATTACCTTTTCTTCCATCTCTCTTTCTTGTCTTACAATTTTCTGTGGTTGATTTAATTCAAATCGCATTTTTTGGATTTATTCTCCTTCTAAGAGGCCGTATAGATAAATACGAGTGTATTTCCAATTAAAAAATAGCCTCTTAATCTTTTAAATCATTTGTTGTGTAGTTAATTAAAAATAGTCATCAGGTATTAAATCTCTTAAAAAAATCTCTCTTGAGATATTTTAACATTAAACTTAAAGATAACTTAAAATATTTTTTGATAAACACTTATTGAAAGTACCTACTTCAGATAAACCTTTTTATCACTATATAAACACACTTTTAAAATCAAACTTATTTTATCCAACAAAAATCATCATGCGTTTAGAGACGTGCTGTTTATTTCTGCTCCTTTTGGGTTTTTCCCATCAAACGGAACGAGATTGTATTAAATCGCAAACGACCGTGAGCGGTACTTTCGCACCGAGAGATTTTTGCTCGGGCGATCTTATTTTTGAGGAAAATTTCGATACCCTCGATTTCAAAAAATGGCAACACGAAAATACTTTAGGCGGTGGCGGAGTAAGTGGTTCTTATTATTACTATTCTTTCTACAAATAATTTTTAATTTAGAATTGGGAATTTCAATGGTACACGAACAACAGAACAAATAGTTTCGTTAAAAATGGATTGTTACATTTAAAACCAACATTAACCGCTGATCATATGGGCGAACCATTCTTATCTTCCGGTACTTTAGATTTAAACGGAGGTTCTCCAGCCGACGAGTATGATTTAATTATTCTTGTTATAATTAGATATTATATTTTTGTGACGTTTTAGATGTACTAATCCAGCTTGGTATGGTTGTACAAGAACCGGAACACCAGAAAATCTTTTAAATCCGGTAAAAAGTGCGAGATTACGCACCGTAGATTCATTCTCTTTCAAATATGGCACTCTTAGAGTTAGCGCAAAAATGCCGGCTGGTGATTGGATTTGGCCAGCAATTTGGTTATTACCCCGTTATAATGAATACGGCGGTTGGCCTACTTCCGGTGAAATAGATTTGGTCGAATCTAGAGGTAATAGGGAGTTGTATCAAAATGGACAACATATTGGTACGCAATTAGTTGGATCAACTTTACATTGGGGACCTGATTATTCGCGAAATGGATACCCCCATACTCATTGGGAGAAAAGAAATCCTTCCGGTTACGACAATTTATTCCACGTGTACGAGTTACAATGGACTCCGAATGAAATTAAATTTTTCGTCGATTCCGAACAAATTGGAACTATAACTCCCCCGGCGGGAGGTTTTTGGGAGTTGGGAGGATGGGGAAGAAATTTGCATAATCCTTGGGAAGGAAAAGGATTAATGGCTCCTTTCGATCAAGAATTTTATATTATTTTAAATAATGCCGTTGGTGGTGTTGCTTTCTTCCCGGACGATGCTACTAATCCTGGCGGAAAACCATGGAATAATGAGTCACCAAAGGTAAGATTTTTTTAAAACATTCATCTGAGTACTTATTTAAAAAATTTTTAGGCCTCAACCGATTTTTGGAATGGTAGAAATCAATGGTTACCTACTTGGACTTTAGAAAATGATAATTCCGCTTTACAAATTGATAGAATTGAAGTATGGGCTTTATAACAAAATCCATGTCTTTGAGAAATAAATATACATATATAAAACTGTATTTAACATAGTATTTATATTTCTAAATTGGAAACGTAAAATGCTTAATGTTCTATTTTTAATTTTACCAAGAAAAGAATAAGCTTTTACTTGGACACCCTCTTTTTTATAATTATTCATTAATACTATTAAAGTCATTACCCATTTTAGGTGTATTTTCTGTTTTTATAAATAATTCTTGTAACTTTCTTGAAAAGTAAGAGAAAAAGATAGGCAACCCAATTCAGAGTCACAGTTGTCATTGCGAAATTGACATTTATTATAATTGTGTGGTAGCACTGCCTTTCAAATTTGACAAATTGATTATTATTTATCAATATTATTATAGATTCTTAATTTTAAAAAAAAATTGAGATAGGATACCACATATCTTCGGTGTATACTGTATAGATAAAAAGTTAACTTACTTCCAGTTATAACATTTGTTCGTTGTAAGTTTATGGATATGACACTAATAATAAGTAAATATTAGCACTTTCCTTTAAAAATCGTTTATTAAAAGTAACTTATAAAACTTCCTATTACTACGTCTGAACTCTTTTGTTAACATAACGTGACATAACCTTAACTAATGACAATCTTCATTCTTCGCTTTACTACTAGATGGCGTAACCATATATGATATTAGTTATCATTCAAAAACATAGATATTTCCAGTAACTCCGACTTTTAAAGAATGTGTACATTTGAAATTTCATTTGAAACTCAGTTTTTCTATTTTATTAATTATACTGTTACATATATTAATTGCACTTTCGTTTTTTACAATGACAGTTCAATTAGAATTACATAACCTCACTTATTAATGGGACGCACCTATTGCATAATGGAAGCTGAAGTGTCATCATCATTTACCAGGTCCAGTTATGTTTACCAAAGTCAATAAACTGTACAAAGTGTTGAGCAGACTTATGACGTTACACAGTGTCAAGTAAATTATCCATGGACACAGTCAAGGTAATGTTTACCAAGATTAAGATAAAAATGTTGGCTGAGGTCAATTTTATTTACAGCTGTCAATCACGCAGGTAAAAAGAATTGCCCTAGGTCAGATTTATTTACAACTGTCATTCACGAAGGTAAAAAATGTTGGGTAAGGTCAGTTTTGTTTACAACTGTCAATCACGCGGGTAAAAAATGTTGGGCAAGGTCAGTTTTATTTACAAGTGTCGATCACGCAGGTAAAAAATCTTGCCCTAGGTCAGATTTGTTTATAACTGTCAANTCTTGAAAAGTAAGAGAAAAAGATAGGCAACCCAATTCAGAGTCACAGTTGTCATTGCGAAATTGACATTTATTATAATTGTGTGGTAGCACTGCCTTTCAAATTTGACAAATTGATTATTATTTATTAATATTATTATAGATTCTTAATTTAAAAAAATTTTGAGAGAGGATACCACATATCTTCGGTGTATACTGTATAGATAAAAAGTTAACTTACTTCCAGTTATAACATTTGTCCGTTATAAGTTTATAGATATGACACTAACAATAAGTAAATATTAGCACTTTTCTTTAAAAATCGTTTATTAAAAGTAACTTATAAAACTTCCTATCACTACGTCTGCACTCTATTGTTAACATAACCTTAACTAATGAAATGATAGTCATCGTTCTTTGCCTTACTACTAGATGGCGTAACCATATATGATACCAGTTATCATTCAAAATCATAGATATTTCCAGTAACTCCGACTTTTAAAGAACGTGTACATTTAAAATTTCATTTGAGACTCAGTTTTTCTATTTTATTAATTATACTGTTACATATGTTAATTGCACTTTCGTTTTTACAATGACAGTTCAATTAGAATTACATAACCTCACTTATTAATAGGACGCACCTATTGCATCATGGAAGTTGAAGTGTCATCATGATTTACCAGGTCCAGTTATGTTTACTAAAGTCAATAAACTGTAAAAAATGTTGAGCAGACTTATGACGTTACATAGTGTCAAGTAAATTATCCATGGACACAGTCAAGGTAATGTTTACCAAGGTTAAGATAAAAATGTTGGCTAAGGTCAATTTTATTTACAACTATCAATCACGCAGGTAAAAAGTATTGCCCTAGGTCAGATTTATTTACAACTGTCAATTACGAGGGTAAAAAATATTTTGCAAGGTCAGATTTATTTACAACTGTCAATCACGAAGGTAAAAAATGTTGGGTAAGATCAGTTTTATTTACAACTGTTAATCACGCAGGTAAAAATCTTGGCCAAGGTCATATTTGTTTACAACTGTCAATCATGCAGGTAAAAATCTTGCCCAAGGTCATATTTGTTTACAACTGTCAATCACGCAGGTAAAAATGTTGTGTAAGGTCAGTTTTATTTACAACTGTCAATCACGCAGGAAAAATTGTTGGGTAAGCTCAGTTTTGTTTACAACTGTCAATCGCGCACGTAAAAAAAATCTTCCTCAAGGTCAGATTTGTTTACAACTGTCAATCAGATAGGTAAAAAATCTTGCCCAAGGTCAGATTTGTTTACAATTGCCAATCACGCAGGTAGAAACATAGGTATCCCTGGCACTTATTAAGGCCGCCGTTCAATGGCGATTTTTATATGAACCGACACTGGTTCACTCGGTGCAGCTTCCCGGCTTTCTCTCATATCTTTATTCAAAGTTAAATACATAGGATTGTTGTTAACATATTTCTGTACAAAATGACGTATTTTTTGTTGTAAAATAATTAGAATGTTAATCACAAAAAATTGCTAAACTTTGCCATAAAAACGACTTCGTATAAATGCGATTTATGTGAAAATTATACACTTAAACGGGAGAACAAAGGTGTCATTTTTTGCACATGTATCATAGGAATAGATTCCACGCTAGTACAAGCGCAGAAAATTTGTCATTATCACGGGAAGCTGCACCAAGTGAAAATGTGCGATTTCCTCAATATACTTAAGCTTCACTAGATTGCGTAAAGGAATCTACCTAAAATCGGTAAATTAAGACATTTTAAAACTTTGTCAATCGTCTCATAGAGGGAACATATTAAAATTATTACATAGTACTGCAAATATACGTTTACTGTGGTTTTTACAACATCCTATAAGGAATTTTAATACCGTTTTTATCAGTGTATCAATCAAATATATAACAGTTAACAATTTTGGGCAATTAATCCTTTCGAATAAAATATTAAATAAAGATNCAGTTTTATTTACAAGTGTCGATCACGCAGGTAAAAAATCTTGCCCTAGGTCAGATTTGTTTATAACTGTCAATCAGGCAGGTAAAAAATCTTGCCCAAGGTCATATTTGTTTACAACTGTCAATCACACAGGTAAAAATCTTGGGTAATGTCAATTTTATTTACAGCTGTCAATCACGCAGGTAAAAAGTATTGCCCTAGGTCAGATTTATATACAACTGTCAATCACGCTGGTAAAAAATCTTGCCCAAGGTCATATTTGTTAACAACTGTCAATCAGGCAGGTAAAAAATCTTGCCCAATGTCATATTTGTTTACAACTGTCAATCACTCAGGTAAAAATCTTGGGTAAGGTCAATTTTATTTACAGCTGTCAATCACGCAGGTAAAAAGTATTGCCCTAGGTCAGATTTATATACAACTGTCAATCACGAAGGTAAAAAATGTTGGGTAAGGTCAGTTTNGTTTTTTATCTTATAAATTAACGCACGCCCATTATATGTCAGTACGCTTCTATGTCTATCTCGGTTCGATCACCTTGCGCAAGCTATCTCTCTCGCTGGCTCAATCCATATTATATATAATCAAAGGATACCAGTTATCATTGAAAAACATAGATATTTACAGTAACTCCGACTTTTAAAGAACGTGTACATTTAAAATTTCATTTGAAACTCAGTTTTTCTATTTCATTAATTATACTGTTACATATATTATGTTAATTGCACTTTCGTTTTTACAATGACAGTTCAATTAGAATTACATAACCTCACTTATTAATAGGACGCACCTATTGCATCATGGAAGTTGAAGTGTCATCATGATTTACCAGGTCCAGTTATGTTTACTAAAGTCAATAAACTGTAAAAAGTGTTGAGCAGACTTATGACGTTACACAGTGTCAAGTAAATTATCCATGGACACAGTCAAGGTAATGTTTACCAAGGTTAAGATAAAAATGTTGGCTGAGGCCAATTTTATTTACAGCTGTCAATCACGCAGGAAAAAGTATTGCCCTAGGTCAGATTTATTTACAACTGTCAATCACGAAGGTAAAAAATGTTGGGTAAGGTCAGTTTTGTTTACAACTGTCAATCACGCTGGTAAAAAATGTTGGGTAAGGTCAGTTTTATTTACAAGTGTCGATTACGCAGGTAAAAATCTTGCCCTAGGTCAGATTTGTTTACAACTGTCAATCAGGCAGGTAAAAAATCTTGCCCAAGGTCATATTTGTTTACAACTGTTAATCTCTCAGGTAAAATGTTGGGTAAGGTCAGTTTTGTTTACAACTGTCAATCGCGCACGTAAAAATCTTCCTCAAGGTCAGATTTGTTTATAGCTGTCAATCAGGCAGGTAAAAAATCTTGGCTAACGTCAGTTTTATTTACAACTGTCATTGACTAGATTTCGCCTAGATAAAGAATGTTAGCAAAGTCAATGTTTCCAAGGTATTAAAAAATGGTGAGTACAATGTCAAATAAATTATGAAGGGTCAGTTATATTAGGGCTCACTTTTACCAACTCTTGATAAATTTATCTGATAGATAAATCTAGTTCTTAACCGAGAGAACACTTTAATACCACTGTAACCATGGTAACTATTCCCTTGGAGAATGGTAAACATGGGTGTTTTGACATTTCTTTATTTGTTTTCCACCGATTTCGGTGATTAATTTATTTTATGATAATTAGGGTTATAATATTTAACTTAAACGTAATAAGGTATGACAAGATTAATAATTCTTCATAATAAGAATCAAGAAAAATTTAATCATAAATATTGTGACAAAATATTTAAAAGCAAATTTGACATTAACATAACCTCAATTTTATTTGAATTGAAATTATTTAATTGTTATTTCTTTCTACAAAGAATAATTAAATAATTAATCATTAAGCACAAATTAATTGGTATAAAAACCTTTTAATTTGAAATTTACTTCAAATATGATTTAATTTAAATATACTTTTCTGATTTATTGTTCTATGTCACTTTCAATAATTCGTGACTTTTAGGTTATGATTAAATTATCATACGTCAAAACGTCAATGCTACCAACTCAAATTTAATGACAAATTAAGTCATTTAACAATGTTTTTTTGGTATTTCTTTATAATTTTATAACATTTTAATAAATTTTATTTATAAGCTGCAACTTCATATTTTGTATATTACTTGCGGATTTTTATACTTTATTTTAATATAGAAAATCAAAATTACAAGAAATAAATTTCTTACAAAGCATAAACTTTCACGTAGTCAACCTTTAAGTCGTTACCTTCTTGCCATGATTGTAAATAAGTGTTTTTATTTAGATAAAAGTTTAACATCTCTTTTGCATCTTGATTTTTGTAAGGTTTTCCTTCAACTTCAGGGATACCATGACCACCAACACCAACTCCTAACGTAATTATCATCTATAAAAATAAAAATTATACAATAAATATGAAGGCTTTCATGGTAGATGTTAATTAAACTAAAAGTTAGAATTAGAAACATTCGGGTTTAATCGTGCGTCTCTTAAGATGGCCAATGTCGCGAATCATAAGACCACCGGTCTTATATTCCACGATGGTTCGGAAACAAAACGCTTACAGTCATTAATCAACGTTTATTGCAACAAAACACGTGTTATCATTACCACTCGAACTCAATACATGAGCCATACGCCATACATGAGCCGAGCGAGCGCGATACATCAACAACAAAGTTCTAAAAGCTACTAAATATAACGTCGATTCTTCGCAGGTCCCCACCTAACAATAAAGCGCTGACGCCCCTACTCGGTAGGCAACCCAATTGACAACTAAATACGAATTCTCAACATTCTCCCACCTGAGACACATTCAAATAACATAGGTCATGTGTCTCACAAAACAACATTCTAAATTAAAACTATAACTTAAACTACTTCAGTCTTGTAATCTTTTCGGGATTTTCGTCAGGCGACCACTACGCGTAACAACAACTTTCGTTGCGGGTTCTCTGCTTTTACACACTCCCGCACTTTCCCGCACAGTCTTGCACACCAGTTCTTCCCCATCGTCACCTTTGATGTTTCTCGTCTCCGGTGAAGTCTCGCTGATGTTGTCCACCTGATCAGCACTCTCGATCGTTGCATCGTCTGTCGTGCTTGCACACTCCAAAGGGTAGATGCGCTGTACAGGCCGAAGCAGCTGCCCCTGGCGGTAGTTACTCTTATTAAACGAATTTGTCCATCTGGTCCAGGCAACAATTCAGTGACTCGACCCAAAGGCCAATCCAATCGCTTGTCGTTGCCAATAAGTACTAACTCTCCAACTCTTATCGGACGGCCGTAGCGCTTCTTCTGTAATAGGTCTAACTGGCCCAGATATTCATCACGAAACCTGCGGCGCAGATCTTCTCTCAACTTTCGTTGGTAGGCGACTTTTCGACAAAGCAATTGGCTGTCCACCTCATCACAATCAGGAACACCGCTATACACTTGCTCTCGTAGAAAGGTGTTTGGCGTCAAGTGCAACAGCTCCCCCGCATCGTTAGACATGTAAGTGAGAGGCCTCGAGTTAACAACCGATTCGCAATCGCACAAGACGGTTAACAGTTCTTCATAATTCAAGCAGGCACGTCCCAAAACCTTACGCAGCAGCTGCTTCAGTACTCCTATCAGTCGCTCCCAGAATCCGCCCCACCATGGTGCTGATGGTGGATTGAAACGCCATGTGATACGTTCCGCACTACTGTGCTCTGTGATTTTCTGCCAGTCTATTTTCTGAAACGCGTTTTCTGTTCCAACAAAGTTGGTACCATTGTCTGTGTAAATAGTGCGCGGTCGACCCCGCCTCGCGATAAACCGACGCAACGCTTGCACGAAACCAGCGACAGTCAATGATGTACAAAGTTCCAAATGCACTGCCCGGTATATCGCGCACGTAAAAAGACAGATCCACGCCTTTTCCCCAGTCTTTAAAAACAACGGCCCCGCAAAGTCTATACCTACGATCTCAAAAACTCCAGCATCTCGCACTCGATCCAACGGAAGCGGCGCGTTATCCGTTACAAAAGGTTTTCTGTTATGTCGCTTACAAACCACGCACTTCGCGATCGCGGATCGTACCGGCCGACGTCCTCCTAGGATCCAGTAGTTGTTACGAAGTATGCTCATAAGTCCCTGCGTGCCAACATGACACGTCCTCACATGTGCATCAAAAATGAGATTGATCACGACCGGATGGTTAGCGGGCAACAGTATTGGTAGGCGAAAATGCTCTGCATCATTTCTTCTTAACACTCTCGATTTAACTCGGATTACGCCATTTTCATCTCTAAAGGATTGAAGGTTTCTCCAACGTTTGTCATTCTCGTCCAATGAATCTCGCTGCACCCGCTTCACCACAAATGTCTCGGCTTTTCCAATTTCTTCTTCGGTGAGTGCGCCTTTACGTTTGTTGATGGGGTTTCGAGTATTGAATACGAACCGAAGAATCCAAGCAATCATGCGCCGTGTTTTCAGATACTTGGAAAAATAGGTTAAGTGCAATTCATCCTCATCACCAGTGTTAAGCAAGGACGACGTAATCTTTTTCTTTTTCTCTCTATTTATCTCAAGTTCGTCGTACTGCATGCCCTCATGTTCGGGCCATGATTTTGGGTCCCCGTACAACCAACGCGGTCCCTCCCACCATCTAGAGTGTAGCAAAAAAGGCACATCAATATCACGTGTGATTGGCTACAGACTAGACATCTCAAACGGGCTTTGCATTGTCGCGATTGATGTCCAATTCTTAAACACTTAAAACAAGCCTTTTTTTCGCTAAGAATCTCTTTCTTCTTTTCTAGCGTCAGCTTTTGTGCTTTGAAACAGTTGGCACTTTCATGTGTGTTCCCACAAAAAACGCACTTTTCTGCACCATGGTTGATCAATCCCGCAGCTGTAGAAATCCTATCCTGAGCCGTGGGGCGCAACCCAAAACCTTCGGCCGCCAATCTAGTCCGTTGATCGTTCTCCACCTCACTCTTCAAAAAACTCATTAGACTCGCCAACCTCTTCTCCAACCCTGTAACCGCTTGGGTGGGAGTCGTGGATTCTTCATGCGACGAACGCTGCCACACACGTAATAAATCTTGGGGTACGCATGACTCTATCAATGGGAAAATCATCGCAGCGCACTTGTCAGAAGTTATGTCCAACATTTCCAGTGCGCGTAGTTGCGTTTCGATTTGATCATACAACATTGATAATTCCATTTTTTTCTCGTCGATGGCGTTGTGTACAACCAGTTTCAATAATTCTCTCACATACACCTCGACTTGCAAATCTTTTCGTCCAAACCTTGACGTCAAGGACTCGATCATTTTTTCGTAGTTCTCTCCGGTAGCGGGAAAACTTTCTACTAAATTTCTAGCTCTACTATTCGGCACTGTAGCCTGAATCAAGTACTCTACTTTGTCGTTCAAATCTATGTTAGGATCGTCATGAACTTTTCGAAATTGAGACCAAAACGGTAACCAGTCTTTTATATCGCCATTAAAGGTCTTAAACGCAATAGTTGGTAATCTAAATCTACGAATACCTGTTGGGTTCCCCTCTGATACAACGGATTGTTGATCTGGCGAAGATTCGTTACCTTTCATCAATTTCTGGCATCGTCCATTTGCTCTGGCGAATTTCTCCAAGTAAACCTCGACGCTCTCCATTTCTGTTAATAATTCCTCCTCCTCCGTTGCGTCTTTTTCGAGCATCAAGTTATAAATTTCAGAATCAGCCACCTTTACTTTGTCGAGCTTATCTTGCAGTAGCCCCCACGACACACTGACGTCATCTGTCGCCACGACATCCAAATGCTTCTCCAGCTCAGTAATATTTTTCGTAAACATGCTACGGAGAACTCCTCTGTGCCTCTTCTTCTGTTCCATTGTTCTCTTGTTGCGTACGTTCACCAAAAGTAAATGCGGGCGGCCCGTCGCAAGGTCAATTCACCGGAAAAACAATAGAACAAAATGCTTACTCAGGCCGACACAACACGCGCATGCCCTGTCACGGTCGCCACTAAATGTCGCGAATCATAAGACCACCGGTCTTATATTCCACGATGGTTCGGAAACAAAACGCTTACAGTCATTGATCAACGTTTATTTCAACAAAACACGTGTTATCATTACCACTCGAACTCAATACATGAGCCATACGCCATACATGAGCCGAGCGAGCGCGATACATCAACAACAGAGTTCTAAAAGCTACTAAATATAACGTCGATTCTTCGCAGGTCCCCACCTAACAACAAAGCGCTGACGCCCCTACTCGGTAGGCAACCCAATTGACTACTAAATAAATACGAATTCTCAACAAAAT